TGATATGTATGCATATGTTTGGAACCGCATCATGGGGGTTCCGCACCAGGCACCCCAATACGCCGATCAGGAACCAGGAGTGCAAACATTGCCTCATTTTTCTTTTCGGTTTGCGGAACTTTGTTGCACTATGCTATCAAAATCTGATGGCTATTCAATATTTACTACAATATGTACAAGGCTCTCTGTCTTTTTTCCGCGATGATTCGAATTCCTCGTTGAATTTGTTCCCCTTTCGCTCCGCCACGGCCCTCAATCGCCGGACGTGCGGGTCGTCAGCAGTAAGTAGTGGCATCAGGAGATGGATATCCGAGGTGGGGAACACAGGTTTGTCAAACGTCGAGTGAGTGTCGGTGTACAAAATGCGCCGCTTCTATGCATATGCGTACAAATACGACCATTGACAACCCCGCCCCAGAGGCAGATCGATCTGAACGGGTCACCACACGTGCCACCTCTCCATGGTGTCCTCCACTACAAAAATAACAGCCTCTCAGGCCAGGGACTCGAGAAAAAGAGACCTTCGTTTGAGCGCCCATCATTTTGGCTTTTGATTTTAAAAAAGAGCAGCTTGCTACAGCAGCAGTATGTCACAGAGGAATTTTTGATATCAAAAAAGGAAAAAATAATGTGTGCGGAGTGGGAGGTAGCTGTAGGCTAGTCTCGAACGTAGGGAGCGGGAGGAGACTGCGCTGAGTGAGCTCCTAGCGGGGGCTGGAGGTGATATGTGTCTGAAGACAAGCCCGAAAACACTTCTCTGTGTGACAAAAAACGCTTGGTGTAGCATATATCTCCCGTGTGGCAACCGGATTCCCGTTCAGCGTTTTTCGAAACGGCACGGCTAAACACCCCACCGGTGGGGTAATTTCCTAACAACCCCACCGGTGGGACGGTTAACGCTTAAACACCTCCGATCAGCACAGGACTTCAACGAGTGTGTTGCGGCGTTGCAGGGCTATCATTGGACCCATCGTGAGGCCGAAACGGCACAGCTTTGGTGGTGAAACGGTTGGTGTGGGGAACATGCGCCGCCACCCCACTGGTGGGGTAGATAACGTTTTGGGCCCCACCAGGTGGATGTCCCTCCACATGGCTCCGATCGACACACAAGTACCTGCAGGATTTTGTGGTCGATGCACGCACAGCGCACAGCAGCGGGCAGCACCTGGGGCGGCGAACAGGTCAGGCAATCCCGCGGGATAGCGCTAAACACCTGACGTGGGTAGCGAACACTGCCTACTATTTTTTTGCAGAAGGCTTCGTTCAACACCACCAGGAACCCAATGCTGGATCTTCCCCCACAACCCTCCAATTGACACAAGACATATACGAATGTATGGCTGCGTTGCAGGGCTATCGTGGTGCCACGGCCGGTGGGATGAACAACGCAAAATATGCCCCACCGGTGGGTGTGGTGGATAAGTTAAGCATCCCACCATCTGTATCTCGCCGTACAAGACTGACTCCAATCGAACAACAAGCGCCATGGTCAGAGACCTCTGTTCATAAAAACATACAGCGTACACTACGCAGTGCACAGCACACAGCACACACACCGCAGCAGCAGCAGACGGGGTGGGGAACAAGTCAACCTATCCCTCCGCACAGCCCCACACAAGTCAAGCGGAAAACTTGCCTCCCCCACTACCCAGTCTACAAGCCATGTTGCAGAGGATAGAAGGTAAATACTTTCAACCCGGTCTCCCCGGGCTAACGGGCACCACCCCACAACGGACACCCCCCCCCCCACTAATGGGCACCACTCCCGACAAATCGGCACTTCCCTAAACGCATGGCCCCCATAACAGCCCCCCCGGTGGTTCGGGCATCCCCCTTCGACCAACGGCACTCACCGTCAACATTGTGGGCACTCCCCCATGCTCACGCGCACCTCTTGGCGCCGTGTTTGGACGATGCAGTGCTCCAGGGAGTGATGTAGGATGCACTGTACTTCCCGGACAGATATACTGTATTCCCTGGTTACATACACGTATTCGTTGATCAGATACGCGAAGCACTGTATTCTCTCATCAGGTACACCGTATTCCCTCGATATTTTCACTTTATCATCTCATCAAATTCGCTGTATTCCCGGATAATTTTCACTGTATTCCGTACTCAGATTCACTGTATTCCCTCATTAGATTCGCTGTATTCCCTGGTCAGGTTCACTGTTTTCCCTTTTTCGGATACATAGCCTGTATTTGCCCATCATGTATACTGTATTCGCTCATGAGATTCACTGTATTCACTGACCAGAGTCACTGTGTCCCCTCGTCAAGTTCACTGTATTCCCTCACCAGATTCACATCAGATACGCTGTATTCCATTTTCAGGTTCACGTTTTTCCCTTTGTCGGATACGTCACTATATTTGTTGATCACGTTCGCTGTACTCCCTGAGCAGATACACTGGCGGTGCCCCGAACACCCGAGAGGGGTGCACGTCATAGTCGGGGGGCTTTAGTCTGGGGTGGTGACCGTTAGCCCGGGGAGGCGCCAGTTGGAGAATATTTACGGGTGCCCTATTCTGCCACAAGTCCCCCACCGGTGGGGCACATCTATAGCTTACCCCACCGGCCGTGGTAGCACCTGAACGGGACCGTTTGGGCTTAACGATGGGTCATACGATTGCTCTGCAGCGCAGCAACACAGTCGAGCGTGTCCTGTGTCGACTGGAGTCTTGCATGACGACATACAGGTGGTGGGGTAAGCTATGTATCTCACCAATGAGGGAGGCAGTGTATGGTTCCCGCTTGGTGTGTGTAAAGCTGTGTGGCGGGAATACTTCATGTGCTGGCGCCTCACCGGCTTCCAGCTGCAATGTCTTGTGCGTGCGTGTTCCACACAACTCCAACCGGTGTTTCTGTGTCGATTGGAGTCTTGTAGGGCCACATATGCGTACAGCGGTAGATCTCTTGTGTCAGGTGTTTGGCGTTATCCCGCGGGATTGCCTGACCTGTTCGCCGCCCCAGGTGCTGCCCGCTGCTGTGCGCTGTGCGTGCATCGACCACAAAAACCTGCACGTGCTTGCGTGTCGATCGGAGCCTTGTGGAGGGACATCCACCTGGTGGGGTCCATAACGTTATCTACCCCGCCAGTGGGGTAGCGGCGCATGTTCCCCACACTAACCGTTTCACCACCAAAGCTGTGCCGTTTCGGCCTCACGATCGAGCCCTGCAACGCCGCAACACACTCGTTGAAGTCCTGTGCTAATCGGACTCGTATAGAGCGAGCTACAGGTGGTGGGGTGTTTAAGCGTTAACCGCCCCACCGGTGGGGTGTTTAGTCATGCCGTTTTCGAAAATAGTCAAACAGTCGCCAAGAAAATCGGTTGTCAGAAGGGAGTCGCTGACAACGGTAGGAAGATATTCTTACCTAAACCCAATACTGTTGTAGTACGGCGGGGCAAAAGAGCCACAGGTTACGACTCAATTCGTTGCAGTATTCTATCTGCGATGCTGTGCGAGCCACGCTGCTTCCAGGCAGCAACCGCACACACGCGCGCGCGGAGACGTCCGCAATCTATGGTCAGCATAACATTGATGTATGTTTTCAAGCGGATCTTCGAGACTTGTTGGTGCATCCGCTCCCCCGCTGGAGTGTCCATTGCTGTTCTTGGATTCGCTGTCGCCGGCGACTACAAGTACGATGCCGAAGACGTTCCTTACTCAACCTGTCCACGCCGTCCTTTCCCGAAACGTGCAGCTCATATTTTCTGTCATCATGGCCACGACGTTGGAGAACGTTGGAGACGCTCTTGATCCTTCTGCTGGGACTCTCCGCGTTGTTGGATACCTCCGCAGGTAGGTGGGTAGGTTCGACCAACATTGGGAAACACCACCCATGGGTGTACTGCAGTATACGTGTTAGCACCACGGTCAACTCCTCTCGGTGTTCAAACCATACCACAGCCCTCCAACTTTGTTTCACGACACAAAGTTGAAAAAGAGCAGTACTTTTATCCAAACGCTGGTACGTAAATGCTGTTTCGATTCTTCGCGTAGGCAGGTAGACACCGAAAAGGGAGGGTCCATTCCGTTGCAAACACAGCATTTGCAATACCGTGGCGTGTGATTACATTGCGTTTGTTCGCCTCTTCAACTAGTGAGTAGCCGATCGCCCCGGTGGTTGAGTTGGTGATTGCTAAACCACAATGGTGTGCGGCTCCGCACCCTGTCACAGTACCCCCCAAAAGAATTTGTTGAGATGAGTGACCGATTTTCTTGGAAAGGTAGCGTCGTAGGCCAATTTTGGTTGCCGCAGGTGTGCTGGATCGGTGTGAAAGACTTTGCGAATTGCGATAATTGTTCCTGTTTCGGAGGAGTCGATCTCACGCAGCAGATTTTGTGGAATAGCGTGATATGTACTTGCAGCAGTCTCTTGGTGATGTTCAGACTCACATCGATATGCCCCCATTTGAACGGAACCTGTCTTCGACCTCGGCCGACCCCTTCATTTGGGGTTTACGTTATTCGAAGGGTCCCACGTGTGTAACGGAAGTTGTAGCGCATGGGGCGCGAACGCTATTGCCTCGTCATTTTGACAACACAGCTTTGCTCGACATGCTGCTATACATTGATGACTTCAGAAACACCGATTTCCAAGAAATGGAAACACTTTCCATCGTTCTGACGTCATCGGGACTTGTTCTATGCCTTGTTTTAAATGCCTCGAACCGCCACGCCGGTATTGGTTGTGGAGGTTGCGGTCCATGGTTCATCGACTGGATACGTTGGCAGTTTACCCCTCATTTCTTACACGGGGAGCCTGTCGCATTGATACCAGCTTTTTCGAGATCGTTTTTAGTTTGTCTCGTACTCGGGTATCTCGTCTCTGTCGTGGAGCATCCCAGTGCGGTGTGGTCGATTTTGACAATACTCCACTTCAGATACGGCCGCTCCACTAGCATACACCGTTCTGTGCCAATCTCACCATTGGCCCTCTCATGTCCTCCCATCTGCCGTCTGTCCTGCGTGCGCCGTTGGTTGAAGTTAATGAATGCCTGGACTCCACCGACGCCGACAGATGCCAAACTAATGCTGGAACTTTGTGAGCCCCCAGGGAATTATATGTTGTTGCTCCCCAAGACCCCACATATGTTTGATGGTGGCTGATAAGGCCCCGTTGGCACTCGGCGTGACTCGTTGCAGAACGATTGAGTTACCTTGCAGGGTGGAATTTTGCTATTTCTTTGTTAACCCTCGCTCCACAATGGGCGGTGTATCACTCTAACCTCCGGTACCCCTTTGGTCGGGAAACGTCGGGCAGTCTTATGAGTTCAGGGCATTTGGCAAGGTATTCATTCGCGCATGTTCACGTGCTTCCTGTGGAACAATGCCACCGCACCACAGACCAGAACGTGTCCCGCCGTTTGGTGTGTGCTATCTTATGCCAGGAGCCTTAGTTCGTGCGGCATAACAGATGCCGATTTCGACGATATGGCGTCATGCTTGGAAGCTGCCGGACCAGAAACAACTAGATATCTGTGAGTGCAATATTCCAGACGTGTGATGTGATTAGGTGGGTTTTGTTCAGAAGCTTAGCACATTCATTCGTAGTGACGTTTGCAAGGTAGTGTCCTGATACCCCCCAACTCGGCTTGAAGCGAGCGATAGAGTCGAACTGCAAGGTACAACATTCTCACCTCAGCAACAGCCACTGCTACACCAATCGTGCCAGTGAACCATCAAGCCCCAACGAGCGCGCCGGGAGGCACTGGCTAGGAATTTTGTTGTAGAACAGGTCGGGGTTGCCCCCAGGATCAGCTCTAGCCTACGCACCGTACTCTCGCTGCGGCTATCGCGTCTACCCTCAGCCGCTGCACTGTCTTGAAGCTTGCGCTGGGATGGTTGTGTCTGTCAAAGCACATGAGTTGATCATTTTCGATCTGAATGTGCGTTCATTCGGCCATTTTGCGGGTAAATCCATCGGATGTAAGCATTTGTTGAGGTGATCGAGAGAAGGAGGCGTTCTATGCTAGAAACGCGCTCACGCAAGGATCGTATTTCCTAAAGGGATAGATTGTCATGTCCGGTCGTCGACGGTGGACCTTTAAAGTGGTGGCGACCTCACGTGCCGCATATTCTAACCCCGTATCCCATCCGCGGTGTACGCCCTGCAACCCTGGACCGGGTTCCGACGGCCAACTCCAGCCTCAGCGTAGTGGGAATAAGGCATGATTGGTACTCAGGTCAATGCGTGGAGGCGCAGAGTCCGTGACCTTGATAGCACCACAGAACGTCGTCTGTGCACGTTGGTGAACTGGCCGCGCCTTGTAGATCACCATGTGCCGCAACGAGCACTGGCTCCTACAGTAGCTCATGTGTGTTCTCTGCTCCTCTCGTGGCCTTCCCTCGACACCCAAAGGTACTTGTATCACAACGCCCTCACCACCCTGCCTGAGGGAATCTTTCAGAACATGACGGGTCTTCAGGAACTGTAAGTTTTAGTTCGAAATACGTTTGTTGGTGTCGTGCTCTTCCGGATGGAGTCAGCCTGCGATGGAAAACACAAATACCACAGACCTATCGTGCCCATGACACAATTAAGCCCCAACGAGCCCGCAGGAAAGCAGTTGGTAGGAATTTCGGTGTAGCAGCAGTGGGGGTCAGCTCCACCCGACGCATCGCAGTCTCGCTGCGGTTATGGCGTCTACCCCCGGCCGCCGCACCGTCGCGAAGCCTACGTTGGGATGATTGTCAAACACAAGAGCCGACCAATTTCGTTTTGAAGATGCGCTCATTCGTGCATTTGCATGCACGCCCATCGCATGTACGCAGTTGTTGAGGTGATCGAGAGAAGGAGACGATCTCGGCGTGGCTAGAAACGCGAGCAGCCCAAGGATCGTATCACGTAACGGGATAGATCGCCGTTTCTTGGAATTGGCGGTAGACCTTTTACATGGTGGTGCCCTCGCTGGCCTCATATTCTAACCTATTATGCCATCCGCGGCATACGCAATGCACAACCCTGGAACTTGTTGCGACGGCCCACTCGTCGCCTCTACTCTAGCGGGAATTAGGCATGATTGGAATGATTGTACCCAGGTCACCACGCGGCGACGTAGAGCCCGCGACTTTGGTAGCGCCACAGAACGTCTTCTGTGCAATCGTGTTGGTGGACTGGACACGCCTCGTAGATCACCATGGGCGGCAGCACGGACTGATTCCTAGCTCATGTTTGACATCTGCTCCGCTCGTGGCCTTCCCTCGACACCCAAAAGGGAACTGTGGGGCAACGAGCTTACCACCTTGCCCGAGGGAATCTTCGGGGGTCTTACGGCCTTGGAAATTCTGTAAGTAGCTGTTCGACGTGGTTATCGGTAGGGTGTTTTTTCCGCATCGGGTCAGCCTTCGATGGAGAACACAAACACCACGGAACCATCGCTCCCCCGCACCATCAAGCCCCAACGAGCGCGCCGGAAAGCAGTTGGTAGGAATTTTGGGGTAGAATAGGTTTGGGTGCCCAAGACCAGCTCCAACCTACGCACCGTAGTCTCGCGTCTACCCCCAGCCGCTACACAGTCTCGAAGCTTGCCCGTGGATGGGGTTATCTGTAAAACACATGAGTCAGTCGCTTTCGATCTGCATGTGTGTTCATTCGGCCATTTTGCCGGTACATCCATGGGGTGTGAGCAGTTGTTGAGGTGATCGAGAGAAGGAGGTGATCCCGGTATGCCCAGAAACGCCAGTACCCATGCATCGCATCACGTGTACGCAATGCAACCTTGGGACGGGCTACGACGGCCAACTCAGTCGCTTCAGCTGTAGCGGGAATAAGGCATGATTGGTACGACATTACCCAGGGAATCACGTGGCGGCGTAGAGTCCGTGACGTCCCTAGCTAGACAGAACGCCATCTGTGCGTGATGGCGGGCTGGCTGCGCCTCGTGTAGTAGATCACCATGGGCGGCAGCAAGCACTGGCTCCTAGCTCATGTGTGTTCCGTGCTCCGCTCATGGCCTTGCCTCGACATCCACAGGTTCCTGAATGAGAACGAGCTCAGCACCTTGCCCGAGGGAATCTTCGGGGGTCTAGAGGCTTTGGAAATTCTGTAAGTAACCGTTCAACATGGTTATCGGGTAGGATGTTTTTGCGCATGGGGTGAGCCTGTGATGGAGGACACAAATACCACAGACGAATCGCGCCCCTGAACCATTTAATCCCCAACGAGCGCGCCGGAAAGCAGTTGGTAGGAGTTTCAGTGTAAAATAGGTTTGTGTACCCAAGACCAGCGCCAATTGACGCACCGTAGTCTCGCTGCACAGTCTCGAAGCTTGCGCTTCGACGGGTTTGTCTGTCAAACACACGAGTCGGTCTCTTTCGATCTGAAAGTGCGTTATTCGGTCATTTTGCGCGTACATCCAGGGGGGGTAAGGATTTGTTGAGGTGATCGAGAGAGGAGGCGATCTCGGCGCGACTAGTAACGCGAGTACCCATGCATGGCACCATGTAACGGGATAGATTCGTTTCCTCGAATTGGCGATAGACCTTTCACGTGGTGGTACCCTGGCTGGCCTCATCTCCTAACGTCTTATCTGATCCGCGGTGTACGGAATGCAACCTAACGGGTTACGACGGCCAACTCAGTCGCCTCAGCTGTAGCGGGAATAAGGCATGATTGGTATGATTGTACCCAGGGAATCACGCGGCGGCGTAGAGTCCGTGACCGTGATAGCGCCACAGAACGTCGTCTGTGCATGTTGGTGGGCTGCCCGCGCCTTGCACATCACCATCGGGGGCAGCAAGCACTGGCTCCTAGCTCATGTGTGTTATCTGCTCCGCTCGTGGCCCACGATCCACAGGTACCTGAATGAAGACGAGCTCACTACCTTGCCTGGGGGAATCTTCGGGGGTCTTATGGCCTTGGAGTTTCTGTAAGTGGCTGTTTCACGTGGTTATCGGGTAGGATGTTTTGCAGCATGGGGTGAACCTGCGATGGAGAACATAAACACCACCGACCAACCATGCCACAAACCAGTAAACCCCGACCACGCCGGAAAGCAGTTGGTAGGAATTCCAGTGTAGAACAGGGAGGTGCCCAAGACTAGCTCCAACCTACACACCGTAGGGATTGGATGAGTATGTCCAACACTCGAAGTGGTCGATTTTCGATCTGAATGTGCTTTCATTTGGCAATTTGGGGGGTACATCCATCGGATGTAAGCATTTAGTGAGGTGATCGAGAGAAGGAGGTGATCTCGGCGTGGCTAGAAACGCGGGTATCCAAGCATTGCAGCACGTTGCGGGATATGTTGTCGTTTCCGAACGCTGACGGTAGAGTGGTGCTCTCACTGCCCTCATATGTCAGCCTGCGTACTGATCTGTGGTTACGTGCATGTGTTCTCACTTTGAAAGTGAACGAGAGAGGGGGTGTATGCGGATGTCGAACAAGTCTTTTGAGGGATGCTGGGCAGTGCCGTGGCACTAGCAGCGATCTGTACTGTAGAAGTCGGCGGGGCTTGGTACTTCTTTATTTTTCTCCATGGTCTAGTGAGCCGTCAGAGGTGGCATTCAGGGCGCCCGTGAAGTAAACGGGCAGTGTGGTACCCCTTTAACCATGAGATCCCGCCCTCTAAAGAATTATCGCTGGTGCGCCACAAATTGCATACCTTTCGAACGCACCTCCTTTTGGGAGCGCCCGGGGGCTCCTTGTTCGAGTATTGAACGAGTGACGAGATGTTAACATCCTAACAGCCGTTCCTTGTGGAGATATGTAAGCGTGCTTCCATTATCTAGGGCACAGCCGTGTTGACATGCCTGGAGCCCGAGGCAGAGGTGAGCTGGAGAACCCAAGGCACACGGGGCTTCGCAACTCCCGAACAATCAGATCACACGTATCCAACCCCAAGGTGCCCCGTGTATCATATCTACCATAGCGTACACCAAACAGTTATTTTGCGTGTAAGTTTTGCTCTCCCCTGCTGGGCTTGGGGCAACATTATTTTGGTGGTTTATCAAATATAATAATATGCCATTTTGTCCCGAAATGCGCTCAAACGTGTGTGAGGCGAATTGGACAAACAACACCAACACCCCTAAACACTCCAGTTTGTCTCTACCTGGGAACGTTTGCCCCCGTGGACCCTTCTTATTCGAATATGCGCAAGGCTTTTTTGCCACGTGACATGTACGTTCTCGCTGCGGGGGTTGCTCAAGTGATTCTGCGGTGCCGATAGTATGGCAAGTATAAGGCCATTGTGTATGCGGTGGGCTTGACCCATCATCGGCTCCATTTGTCCGAATACCCATTTGGCAGGTCATAATGCGGCGGAAATATGCCGTTACTCTACCAAAGCATTCGAACGTCGTCAGTGCATTAGCAAATGGTGACTCATGGCTAACGTGCCGTTGCCTTGCTCCGCTCATGCCCCCCCCTCGACACTGAAAGGTCGCTGCTGAACAACAACCTCACCACGCTGCCGGAGGGAATATTCCAGGGTCTCCCGGCCTTGACAATACTGTAAGTAGCTTGGGTGCCTTTCCGCATGGGAAATAAATCACCAAACGTTTTCCCGGTATGCAGAACTGCAGTCGGTGCTTTTGTTCACTGTTTTATTTGCGAGAGACAATGTGGATGTCGAAGGAGTGGTCGGGAGGTGCTGGGGAGAGTACCATTGCACCAGAAGCGCAACTGTCGAGTCGGCGAGAGTTTGCTACTTTGAAGTCAGCCCCCTAGCTCTAAGCTGGCGTCAACGATGATGGTAAGCAGCGCACCTGGAACGGGTAGCTGATGCAGTTCGGACCGCCCTTCGTTGCTGAAATGATTGATCGTTGGCTCCGTTGATTGATAATGATGCTCATGATATTTCTCAACTTCACACTCTAGCCTCGTGCAGATACTTAACGGTCTACACTATAATCACATCACAGTTTGTCGTTTTCGTCTCACCGTATTCCGCGCGCAAGTGGGAGAATCAGAGACCCAAGTAGGTCAACGTACTGGGCAAGAGGTTCACTACTGTGTGCTCCACGTTATACCTAGCCCGGGCAATACGTTTAGCATCTGTTGTACCCTCGTCGTTGTAGTTTGGTACGACGATCCTGCCAAACTCACTGAGGCCTGACTGTTACGGCCATCTCAGTGTATTTGGCATGTGTCACCAACCTACTGGTTCTCTGGTAGACCCTCTGCTGCTTCCGCAAGTCAAGGAAATGTGGTCGCATTTAGCACTCGTCGGGAAATCGTTGTATGGCCCGCCTTTTCGGTGCCGCCCCTCTTAGAAAGCTCCTTGTTCAAGCCCCGATTTTGCTGGAAGTTCTCCCTTTCCCTGGCGAGACTCTACAACATGTATGTATCTCGGTAGAATTCTATCGATTTCCCCCCAGGAAAACCGTAAGAATAGAGGAATATCGTCCTCTTCTTGTACTACCATTTTCGCTCTACCTCGGCCCTCATCGGCGTGGTTCTGCGGTCATGATTTGTTGGTGTGCTTGACGACGGCTCCCCACGAACAACTATTTGTATCGTTGGTGGCAACCATGCTAACCTTTGTGTCGTTGGTGGCAACCATGCTAACCTTGCTGTTCCTTCCACAACGTTTGATCCGTTGGTGCACCCGCCGTTCTCGTCCGGTCTTGCGCCGGCGAACCTCGTTCGGGGTCTGGATTTCAGGAAGCTGGACGGAAACTCTCTGGAGTGCTTGCCCTCAACAACATTGTGAGGAACGCCCAAAAAGCATCGATCGATCGCATTGAAATACTGAATAACTTGGACAGTGTCACGCGTTTGGGGATTCGACCAGCACCACGTAGATACCAAGCACACCTGTCGCCGCTCGCGATATCGGACGAATGCGTCTTGCTGTAGTATTACTTCTCAGAATGTTGACCGAAACGTGATTCGGAACATGAAATCGTCGAGCCGCTTGAACTATCGCGTTGGCTTTATTCTTCGGGCCCACAACGAGTTTTGATCGCGCCACGTGTGGGCGCGTGGCACGTCTAAACAATGATGTGCATCTTCGGTTGAGCCTACAGAAAGGAGAGTTTTTCCCGGTATGCTCCTTTCTTTGCTTTGCCTATGGAGCATGTTCATTGATGCATTGCGTCGAAGATCGACAACGCCCTCTTTGCTTAGACTATGTAGCGCCTCCTGCTTTCCTCCTGTGCGCACTTCGCAGGATGGAAGTTGATGATGATGCCACGGACGGGCTCCACGTTGATGCATTCGGTGACGAATGTGGTGAGTCGTTCACCGAGAAGGTTGTGCCGAGATACGGACTCGCCGGTACCAAGTTGCGTTTGCTGTGTCAGGTCGATCATGTGGCCTCTTCTTCCATGCGGATGCCCAGTAGCAGTTCGCATGGGATTGTTTTTGGTGCTCCATTTCCCGATCGAGGCGTGCCGTCGCGGCTCTTCGTGGTGAGCGGCGCGCAGGTCCGGCGAAACAATGTTCGGCGTTACCCCTTGGCCCAGGTATTGTACACCGATCACTTGCTCCCTCGTGCATTCCGGATTGCTGTGAACGGTGGTCCGCTGTACCACGCCCAGACTACACCGTGAATGCATGGCAAAAGGGGCTACGATGGGTCTGCAAATTGATTAGTCGCGGCCATTGCTTGAAATCGAAACGATGATCGAATGGAGCTGCGGAGCGAATTGAGACCAAACGCGTCTGTTCCATACTACTTGACCGTTCATGCTCTGGACAAAAAATGCATCTCCAAACTTCTGCGCGAGACTGATCCCGAAGGTCACAATCGGGGGGGATGGGTGAAGTCATGCTTAGCTTTGGGCGAGATATATTGTCACCGTTCTCCCCAAGCAGCGCTAAGGTTTGTAACTTCAAGTGCAAGTATTTGCCATACCCCTCCAATTATGTACTTCGATCGTTTTCAGGGTGTTATATTGAGGGCGTGATCGACAACGTGTGTGGCCAAGAAACGTGCACTCCCGGAGATGAAGGGTACACCTGTGGTGAGAGAACACAGGACCGAAAAGCATCGAAAATTGCTTCTCGTTCAAGTCCATCCTCTTCGTGGAGGGGCTTGCGCAGTCGACGAACTGACACTGTCCAAAACCCATAGATTGAACCCGACAACAAGTGCCTCTCGATGTCTAGGAACTACATGCAACCTTAGCATGCCTAGGTGCGCCAAGACGCCATCTGCTATGAATATTTATTTTTTTGAAGTTTCAGCTGATGGGCTACAAAGGCAGTGTGACATGCATGAAGCAGGCATGCATCGTAATATTCGATGTTGTCATCACTCCTAACCAAAGCGCCTGAACCGGTGTGTCGGCAGGAATCCTAATGGTTGCATTGTCGACCACCGGTTATTTTTCCAACTCAGTGAGTGCGCGCATCCATGCCGCCCAAGGTCGTTTGTCACTTTTCCCTTGTTGGCTTGGCTTCCCACTCCTCCGGCTGGGGGATGTAGGGTGAAGAATGAGTAAATGTTGAAGCTCTTGTCCAACCCACATACGTCCTTCAATGCCCGCCTTCCCTGTATCTCGAGACAGCGGCCACACTTGCGGCTACGCCTGCACCTGCACTGGGCACGGCCGCGCCGGGATCTACCCCACAACCTACGCCGGCATTCGACTCGAGCTCACAAGGTGAGAGACTTGATGCCGCATCTCCCGTGCAAGTGGGGCATGCCGTGTTGTCACAAACAGGAACTACGAAGTCAACTGTTGACATATCGCCGGCTTTGCTCTTACCATTCCCGGTGAACTACCATCCGGAGTGATATTTTTCCGCACCCAAAGCCCGTCGCCCACCTCAAGGCTGCGATATTATCGGCATATCGCGGGGCTAGTAGTCATCACCGCTGGTGAACGAATGGTCTGAGCTACCTCTTGTGCTGTTTCCCGGCCTCTGTTGCTTGTGTGCTTCCTACGCACTGTGTAAGTGTCATGGTACATGTTGTATTATCTCCCAACGACAGCGACTGAACCGATGTGCCGGCAGGAATCCTGTAGGTTTCATATGCGACAGCTGTTTGTCGCCAGACCCATTCAATACTTTCCCAAGCACTATGTCTTTCGAACGTGTGATTATTCTTCCAACTGAGTAAGTGCGCACATCCATGCCACCAAGGAAGGTCGTTTGTCATTCTTGCCCTTGCTTGGCTTCCCGCTCCTCCGGCTAGATATGTAGGGTGAAGCATGAGTAAATGTTGGAGCTCTCGCGTGTCCAACCCAAATACGTCCTTCAATACCCGCCTTCCTGGTATCTCGCGGCAGCGGCCACACGTGCGGCTACGCCTGCGCCGGGATCTACCCCACAACCTACGCCGGCATTCGGCTCGAGCTCAGAAGGTAAGAGACTTGATGCCGCATGTCCCGTTCAACTGAGGCATGACGTATTGTCACAAACAGGAACTACGACATCGAATGTTGACAGATCGCCGGCTTTGCTCCAAACATTCCCAACTCACTACACCATCCGGAGTGAAAACTTTCCGCCCAAACCCTTTCGCTTTCCTCAAGGCTTCGATATTCTATCGGCATATCACGGGGCTAGTAGTTATCGCCGCTAGTGAACGAATGGTCTGAGCTTCCCCTAGTGCTGTTTCCCGACGTTGTTGCTTATGTGGTTCCTACAGCACGCTGTGTAAGTGGCATGGTACAATTTGTAATACTCCGAACAACAGCGACTGAACCGATATGCGGCAGTGGTAGGTTACATCTGCGACCGCTGTTTATCGCCAGAGCCATTCAATACTTCAAAAGACTTTCTCAAGCATTATGTCTTGCGAAAGTGCGATTATTCTTCCAACTGAGCGAGTGCGCACATCGATGCCACCAAGGAAGGTCGCTTGTCATTCTTGCCCTTGCTTGGCTTCCCGCTCCTCCGGCTGGGGGATGTAGGGTGAAGCATTAATAACTGGTGAAGCTCTCGCGTGTCCAACCCACATACGTCCTTCAATACCCGCCTTCCTGGTATCTCGCGGCAGCGACCCCACTTGCGGCTACGCCTGCACCTGCACGGGGCACGGCCGCGCCGGGATCTACCCCACAACCTACGCCGGCATTCGACTCGAGCTCACAAGGTGAGAGACTTGATGCCGCATCTCCCGTGCAAGTGGGGCATGCCGTAATGTCAAAAACAGGAACTACGACGTCGAATGTTGACATATCCCCGGCTTTGCTCCAGCCCTTGCCAGTGAACTACTATCCGGAGTGATATTTTTCCGCACCCAAAACCTTCCGCCCTCCTTAAGGCTACGATATTCTATCCGGCATATCTCGGGGGTACTAGTCATCGTCGCTAGTGAACGAATGGTCTGAGCTCCCCCTTGTGCTGTTTCCCGACCTCTGTTGCTTGTGTGCTTTCGACACGCTGTGTACGGGTCATGGAATATGTTGCAAATACCTCCCAACGACAGTGACTGAACCGATGTGCCGGCAGGAATCCTGTAGGCCACGTGTTCCATCAATATTACTTGACTTTCTCAAGCACTGTGTCTTCCGAACGTGTGATTATTCTTCCAACTGAGTGAGTGCGCGCATCCCTGCCACCCTGGAAGGTCGTCTGTTGTTTTCCCTGTTGACTAGGCTTCCCGCCCGTCCGGCTGGAGGTATGTAGGGTGAAGCATAAGAAACTGGTGAAGCTCTCGCGTGTCCCAACCCAAATACGTCCTTCAATGCCCGCCTTCCCGGTATCTCGCGGCAGCGGCCACACTTGCTCCTGCCCCTGCACCTGCACTGGGCACGGCCGCGCCGGGATCTACCCCACAACCTACGCTGGCTTTCGGCTCCAGCTCAGAAGGTAAGAGACTCGATGCCGGGTTTCCCGTTCAACTGGTACATGCCGTGTTGTCAACAACAGGAACTACGCCGACGAATGTTGACATATCCCCGGTTCCACTCTAACCATTCCCAGTTTACTACCATCCGGAGTGAAATATCTCCCCACCCACAACCTGTCGCCCTCCTTAAGGCTAGGGTATTCTTTCCGGCATATCCCGGGGCTAGTAGTCATCACCGCTGGTGAACGAATGGTCTGAGCTCCCCCTAGTGCTGTTTCCCGACCTCTGTTCCTTTGTGTGCTTCCTACGCACTGTGTAGGGTCATGTCGTTTGAAATATTGTTGATTTGGTTTTAATTTAGAAAATACCCTCGTGCCTCGTGGTTGACGCCGAGCCGGTCGGTTTCGGCGACATCTAGCATTCTCCCAGATGATGCGCTGCAGAGGATAGGAGGATAGTAGTGCCAAACGCCGAATACTCGCGCGATCGCGAATTGGCGCCGCCAATTAGCGACCGCAAGGACCCTAATTGTTTTTTTCTTAGCATGTGAAATTGCTCGGCACTGCTGCTGTTTCGTATTGGATACTGTCCGTCAGTTTCTCGTTTTATCACACACCATCCCCAGCCACCGCCCTCCCACGGGTCGCACAGGAGGGGAACGGTTGCCTTGTGGAAGATTGCATGGCGTCGCAACGCACACGAGCTTGGCTTCCGACATAACTCCATCTTGAAACCCCCACGAAGAAATGTGTGTCAAGCTCTCGTTCTCGTTTTTTCCCTTGCAATCCAGTGTTGGCTGTAATAAACCACCCTTGTCGGACGCCCCTTGCGGTGTACCCTTTCGTAGGATTCGACGCTCGCTTGTTCAATCATTTTTGAATCTACCTACATGCCGGTGCTCAGCTTGCGCCTAGCTCTAGGCAGGGTCAGGCCGTGGCCGCAAGAGTTTCTGGGCAATGTTTGAGAGCTGGAGGCTGTCCACCTTCATGGTGGATAGGTGTTGTCCTCGTGCGCGGCATACCTCCAGTTTTACGGACATAATTGACCCTTCCCGGTTGCCATCGACCCTCCAAAGTACTTCGTATTTTGTTAGGCAGTTGCACCCACACATGCGGTACATGCAGTTCTGCGTGATTCGGCCGCGAGATCACAAAGACTAGCCCTGAAATACTTGGGGATTGATACGTCGAAGTGTCGTGGTCCTGCAGCCAGCCGTTGCCTATCGGAGTCCGGCCTCCATCAAAGCTCCATCCCTGCTCGTCCGCCGCTCGTTTGGTCAAAGAAGGCGCATTCAAGGTGGGCGTTGTAGTCGGCATTGGCGTTGTGGCCGGCGCGCTGGCGTTAGCAGCACTGGGGTTCTGCCTACGTTGCCGACGGGCCGCGAAGAGCACGGACCCGGACCCGCCGGCCGCTCCTTCAGACGGTGGGGACAGCCTGGAGTGTGGCCAGGGTGAACAGCACCAGCAACGGCAGAATGACACCCACTCCTCTTCGACGATCATCGCCGACTCTGCCGGGGGCAACGTTGCCCGCGCCCCGCCACCTCCTGCCGAGCAAGGATCCCCGCCGCCGCCCCCATCGTCTGCGCATGATGATGCACACCGGCGCGGTGCTTGGTCACCCGCCGCCAGTCAGCAGTACGCGGTTATCGCCGCTGAGACAACACTCGGCGAAGACGGCACGCCCATCAGGCAGTCGTTGTTCCCAGCGACGCCCACGGGCGCCCTGCCGAACCCCAGCTCCGAGGGGAAATCCAAACGCACACGCGACAGCAGCGGAAGCGGTGGTGGCACGAGGACGGCGGAGGCGGGCCGGGGCGGGGGCGATGCGGCGGAAGACGGCGGCGGCTGCGTAGTGTCAGCGGATCAGTCGGTGCTGTCGGTGACGACTACGAACTCCGCCACCGACGAGTCGACGGAAGAAGGGGTCGCCGAGATTACCGCGTTCAGGTCTTCGGCGATGGAAAGGCCGGACGGCGCTCCTTCGGGGGCTGCTCTTGTTCTTGCGGCTGCTCCTGCGGCTGCGGCTGCTCCTGCTCCTGCGGCTGCTCCTGCTCCTGCGGCTGCTCCTGCTCCTGCCGCTTCTCCTGCTAGCGGCCGCGGACGGACGTCCAGCGGCGTCGCGTACGGCCAGGCAGTACTGGTAGCGGCAGAGGAGCTCGCACATCATTGCCAGATCCCCGGCGTCAGCGAGGCAGCGACGGCGGTGTCGATTCTGGTACACCTGGTCTTAGACAGTCGGGACTTGACGAGCGGCACCGGGGTTAAGCGGTGCCGGTCGATCGTGATGATGCTTGAGCGGGCGGCAAAGGTACTCGGCCAGGTGAGCGACATGACTCGTGTATGTTGGAGTGCGCACCATGCCTTGTTCTGTCGTATGTATCCTGCCTGGTTTAGAGACGTCGAGGATGGTAGAGACAAGCTTTCGTTTTGGCGTACATTTTGAAATTTCAGGTACAAGTACGATCAAAGGTCTGTCACGCGGTGTTGTTGTTCGGTTGTTCCTGTAGAATCGCGCAGTTGGCTCCGCCACAATGACAAGTTGAGGCATTGCACTGCCTCATACTGTCGTGTTTCTTTTGGCTTTCATTTGAGCCTTAGAACCGGGAAACCTGCGGTTTGTGTCTCATGGAAGGTTTTGCCGTCTTTGTCCGGAACGCAAGTTTAGTTTTTCACCACGGACTCGAGAGGTTGGGCCAATACGTGGTCTGTACTCGTACGCATTGTGTTTGTGCTGTTTCATATGTATATTGAAATGTTTTTTATTGCATCAATTGTCAGAAGGAACATGGAGCACATGCTTTGATCAGATTGAAGCGTTTCTTCTTGTTCTCTTTTCATGGTCAGACTGGATTTCGCTGGAACGGCTGCTGTTTGGCGGCGGGTTCTTTGGCCATTGAGTGTTTGCTGAGGCGACGCCCCACGGCTCTCCGCTCTGCGGCTCTGCGACAGCGGTGTGGTGTGTGCGAAGGCAGGCGCATTGATTTCTCCGTTCAGTGCAAACGTTGCGCTCGATGAATCGTTGTGCCCATCTCGTTTGTATATTTCTATGTGCATGTAGGGTGGCGACACGAGCACGGAGGAGGAGCGTGTTTTGATGGAAGAAGTGCACGACGCAGTCTCCGATCTCAACGAGCTCATCAAAACCTACCAGAACAAGAGCAAGCTCGCCCAGTTGTTGACATCGACCCTGTTCAAGCGGCGCCAGGACGAGCTGAACGCGGTTATGGACAGGGCCATCTGGGGCCTGCACGTGAGTGCCGTGTACCGCAAAGTACTTCATCATATTCAATGTGGATTGTGCCTCCACTGCGCAGCCAGCTGCGCTAAAACATGCGCTGTTGTCTCTCTCATGCCTAGCTTCTTCTTAGCATTCGCTCTGTGCACGTCTGAAATATCTACATTGGGTTTGGGGACTTGATTATCCCGTTTCAGAAAACACGATTTCACCTTTGGCAACGAGGGGTATACCTAATGGGGAGGCCTCGTAGAGGGGTCGGGCACGGCTGCAATCACACGAACGTAGGGTTGCCTCATGGCGCTGCTCACGTTGACCGAACTGTACAGGCAGGTAGGACTCCATGATGTCGCCTTACCGCCTGCCTTTTTCCATGTTCACTGCTTGGTGTCGTCCAGTTGGGCCTGCAGGTGCAGGTGGGACACGACGTTGCGCACCTTGTCAAGGTGAGGGCGTGCCACGGAGATGAGGCGAACTCAGTGCAGAATCCTTCGGTTTCCAACGCTGCTGCAGCTGCAGCCCGCCGCAGGTTGTGCCTCGGTGGCTTGTACCAACCACGTACCAAGCCGGACTATGCTCAATGGCCGCTCTGGAACGCGGTAGCCATGTACAGGACCCTCTCGAGGACACCCCGTTCCCCCCTTCTTCACCAACTCGCCTCACCTTTTGACCGGATCGCTTCTGTGGTCGGGAGTGTTCAGTCAAGCAGCTTTTTTTGAACTTTTTTTCTGCCCCTTGGCCTGATTTTTTGTTCGTCTCTATTTACCAGAGGTCAACGGCGGAGGCTCAGGCAGAATCTCTGGCAGAAGCACGCAGGTCGAGGCGACAGCGCAAGCTTGACCAGATCGAAATCCCCGAGGACCACGTGTCGATCACGAACGAGATGCTGGGAAAGGGAGGCTTCGGCGTGGTGTACCTAGCCGACTACAACGGCCACAACGCGGCGGCCAAGGTGTGAGCAAGCCATTCTCGACCCGTAGGCCGAAACCTCGGCGAGAATAACCGCCGAGCGAGCGAGTAGGGCCTGCCTGGGGAGCGCAAAGACCCAACCCCCAACGACCGGCAGGAGTCATTTTTCACCGCCTTTGGTTTCCCGCTGTCGTGCTCTGTCTGATTCGTTCTCGTGTTCTTGTCGACGTCGGTACATGCATCGCTGGATGGTACAGGTGCAGCACGTCACCCACGGCCTCGGCAAGCCGGGAGAGAACGACATACCATTGAGTGGGCCAAGGACGGAAGAAGAGTCTAATGCACTGCGGGAGAAGGCCGAGCGCAAGGCATTCCTGCGCGAACTGGACGCCATGATCCGGCTGAGAAGTCCTCATACCGTCAACGTCTACGGGGCGATCACCTCGCTGCCGGACGGCCTGGTTATGGTCATGGAGCTGCTGGCGGGCGGTGACCTTCGGGCCATGCTGAAGAACTCCGAGCAGCCGCTTCCCGAGGATATGTGCCGACAGATCATCCAGGATGTCTGCGCGGGGATGACCTTCCTGCACAGCAAGTCGACGGTGCATGGCGACCTTAAGTCTGCCAATGTTCTTCTGGATGGCCGCGGAAGGGCAAAGGCATGTTGGGTGTCCGGGGGTTGTCTTGTGCTACGTGTAGATCGTGTTGTGTTGCCGCGCTGGTTATGGTCCTGGCTGGCCGTGGAAGGGTTATGGACGTACCCGGCGTTCCTGCCGCCGCGGTTCTGACGATTAACATGCACCTCCTTTGCCTACACGTGGCCCTACAGGATAGCTCCCATGTAAATAGTTGTTTGTCGGTGGTGTTGGTGTTGAATTCGGCCGAACAAAGAGCGGACTGTACCCAGTTCCTCCCTTTTCCGTACATTTGGACACGAGTTCCGTTGTCCCGGAAAATAATGTGCAAACACACAATATCGCCCATAAAATATCTGAGCATAATTTTGTATCCCGCTGATTTGTCGTGTCATCGCTTCAGATTGGGGACTTCGGCACCTCGAGGTGGGCCCAGAACACCGATAGATCTACAGGTCTTGCCACATACACCACGAATCCGGGACCAAGCGCCCACATCAGCTTCGCATGGACTGCCCCAGAGGTAAGGAGACGGCCTGGGTTCCTATCGTTTCCCCTCCTGGGCTTGTTGGCAACAACAAGGCCGAGGTGCAGGGTTTGAGCCTCTGTTCATCGGCAATAGCCCCGGTGGTCTAGTTGGTATCCTCGAAACCTTCTAGAGGTCATGTCAAGGGTTCGAATCCCGGCGTAAGCGAGCTTTTCTTGCAAAGTGAGTTTTTCTCTCGCTTCCGATCCTGGCCTAGTGGATAGCGTTAGTTCGTGTGTACATGGAGGGAAGAGATTGCTGACCTCTCCTCGCATTAAAAATCGAAGGAAAAGTACCGCAGGAGGGGAGGGTAGAGAGGGGCTCTTCTGCGTGACCACGGGTTGGAGTAAACGGCACTAGCGCTGTGAGCGCTGATTTGAAGTGAAGACAAAAAAATAAATAATAATAATAATAATAATAATAATAATAATAATAATAATAATAATATAACAATAATGATACCGAACGCTCCTGTGAAGTGAACGAATGCACGCGGTCTAATACTAGTGGTTGAGATGCACTTCAGCCTAATTCCAGCACTGCTTACAGGTGCTGAAGATCGTGTGACTCATGCAGAGAAATCTTGCCCGAATGGCGTACTCTCGAAACTATCCGCAATTCGTTTGGCGGCGTTGAGCGTCTAGGCAAGACAGCAGGCAATCTGCATGGATGGATGTGGACTGAGTTTTTGCGGTTCTCCAGATCACTCAAGGGTTTCGAAAGACGTGCACCTTGTCAACCAATTTGCGTATGTTGGCGTTGGTGTGAAACTATTTGGTCTTAGAAGCTTGGGGTCTCTGTCGGCTTGGAAATCGTCCTCTCGCTGTTCTTTTTTCTCTCCAACGGAGAACTGTAATCGCCGCCTGTGCTCGCCGTAAGCCGTCGTAATTATCCACGTAGCGGAATACACGAAAGTTTGGGTGAATCAACCAGGCTCCAGGCCAGTGGCCAAGGACAACACACGGCTAGGAAAGTATGGGTGCGATCACGGGCCGGAGCTGGAGGCCTCATCCCAAAAATCCAATACTTACTTTAAATGATCCTAGGTCAAGAGCAAAATACAACAGAAAAGTACAGGTAGCTGACTCCTTTCCGTTATGTGGTACGAAGCACACATCACCAGGGCCATCTCGAACCACGGGTCGTGCTTCAAAGCAATTGGCATTGCCTCTGCGGTGTCACCACCGGCCGCACGAGCAGCGACGGGGATTTCCGTTGCTGTTGGTGTTCTACGTGTGAGGCGCTTAGTCAGGCGGGCACCCATTCGAAGTGGACCAATCGGGAGATTCACGGCGATGTTCTCTCGTTGATCACGCTCCGGCGATCCAGCGATCCCAGCGGGAACAACAGTACATTGCAAGGCCTTGAACAATAAAGGCGCGGTTGCTACTGTAAGTTGCGATTCTCATAGAAATTGTCCTTCACCTGCGATCGAAGAGGCCTCTCTTCGGCGTTTTGATTTCACTTCTGACGTTGTTTCCTTCCATCTGCGCGCGGGAAGGTGCTGGAGTCCCAGGAAACCTCCAAAGCGAGCGACGTCTACAGCTTCGGGATGGTGGCGTGGGAGGTGCTGACGAGACGGACACCTTGGGCGGACCAAGCTCGGCCTCGAGATATATACCTCCGTGTCGTCATGCGTGAGGAACGCCCCGCGATTCCCGCGAATACCCCCGTAGATATCACAGAGATGGTGCGCAGCTGCTGGGCCCAGGAGCCCGAGGACCGCCCGACGTTTACAGTGCTTTGCAACGTGGGGAACGTCCGACCGACGGCTTTAAGAATAAAATAGCTCTTGATTTTGAGGAGCGCATGACTACAATTGGGGATGAACCCGGTAGATGTCATGTGAGACGATACACCCAATCGGTGAATCTGCGGTAACGGTGATTGATGTCAGTATTCTGGAGGCTGTAAATATATCTGGGGTTAAATGCTGTCGGCACAGCGTCGACAGTGGCGTTTGGGTTGCGTATAGGCGCCTCCTGCCACCAGCATCATTGGCCTCGGTCAGTGTGCGGCCATCGTAGGCACAACCTCCCTGGTTCCGGCATATAACCAATCGTAACACCAGGGTGAATGCCGCGGGCAGTGGGAGAGCCGATGGTGCTGCACGTGGGAATATGGTGTGTCGATAGGGGAGTTTATCGCTGTTACCCTCCGAGCTCTAGGAGGCCACGGCCTTGTAAGACCGAGAGGAGCATGCGAGATCGGCCGTCGATTCTAGCTGGAGGAGAATGTGCGGCGACGGAGAGGGTCCCCGTACTAGCTCTCACTTTCCAGAAGGCCCGACGGGCATCGCTTGAACAGCCCGACCGGGACCCCGGTTTGAGAGAACGAGTGGTGACAGGTATCACCCCCGACGGCTCAGGTTATCTGATGTCCGTGGGGACGACCGTGCGCCCTTGCAGCACATCCCTCGGTGAAACTAGCTGTAGAGGAAGGGGGACAAGGGGATATAGACTACGAGAGGATCGAAAGGATAATCGGCAAGGATCGGCGAAGATACGATCGGGAAGGAAGGCCCCTTTCACGGGACGCAGGGATGAGCACCCAACTTTTCGCTGGCCACTGTTATAATAGAATGAAACACCTCCAGTCCTCCCCGCCTCTATTCGCCGTAGGCCCAACAGAATACTGTTCGCGCGAAATCTGCTCAATCTTCCAACAACCTAAACGTTTCCGAAACAACAGCCCGCGGCAAACAACGCGATTCCCGGTGGCCTGCTGCAGGACCCCGCTTCGGATACTTGGTTTTCGCCCCCCCCCGCCCTCTTTCGCTACTTGGTCGTCACCATTCTTGTGGAGTCGAAACTGGTTGGCTACAGAGAAAATCGAACAAAGAGCTGGACGAGCGGTATCTTCTCGTCAATACTCAGCAAAAATCCCAACGAAATGACCCACACAAGTTCTCGAAGCCGCTGTGAAGAATGCCGAAACCACGGCCACGAAGAGGCGTCAACCAAGACGTGTGATGACCTCCGCATCCACGGAGGAATTACTACTATCATCCCGGCTGAGTTGGTTGAGCGGCGGCCGAAAATGTGCGATGGGGTACAGATTGATGGACCCTTCCAACACCAGCTTCGTTGCCAAACGGGGATATATGGGGCGTTCCGGGCTTCTGACATCCCACCGCTCAGCGATGCAACCCAGATATTTTACCGGAGGCAGGATAGCGGCATCGACGAAACCGGCGAACGCCGGTAGGCCCCGTCTGTTGAGGTCGTACGGAAGGTTGGGACAGGTCTGCTGTAGGTACATCAGTCGTCAAAGAGCAAGTCCTACAGAGTGTTGATGTCATGATATCATATTGCCGGTAAGATTCGAGCGTGCCGCGACGCGGATGGCCCGGTTGGATAACTATTCTGCCGAAAGCGACTGTTTTCCCGGGTAATCCCGGCATGCGTTTACTCCTTCCGAAATCCGGCACTCCAATCATGCGCGTGCCACGGAAATAGCCGCAACGTGCCAAACGTTCTGTTGTTCCTTGTGGCGCGTCCTGCACGCTTGGGGGGACTCTGGCACAAGAGACCCCTCAGCTGGTTTGTGCTCGAACTCAATTTATTTTATCCTCGACAAACAAGGACGGCGGAGGGAGAAGCACTGATGACTCTTGCGAGACGACGATCAAAGACGCTCGAGCCACGCATCCGACTAAATCTGAACGCATGTAAACGTCGATGGATACACGTAGGTACAGCCAATATCCACACTCTGGGTTTTGACCCCGAGAGAGCCCAACCGCACCGGCTAAACTCACTGCAGATGGGATCCTTGTACCATTATTACTGCCGCCAAGTAAGTGCAAAGCTGGCAACTGTCGGTGAGCTAGAGTGTGAGCATACCGTTGGAACGCAGCCAGGAGCCAACAACATCCACCAACCACTACTGCCGCCCTAACCAGCAGGCCTCAAGGTGTGTGTTGTGCTTTCGTCCTACTTATGGCGACAAAGGGATTTGTGAAAGTGATGTCGCGCGTCCATCGCCATATGGCCACAAGGCACGGTCGCACAGGATCCGCATGAAAGTGCACGGCACGTTGGTAGCAGGTAGGTATTCCAGGGCTTTTCCAGGGCTTGAGATTGATGCCGCTGAACTTGTCGCTACGGGCAGCCCAAAAGGCTAGTCACATGAGGCATCACCATCATCGCCGCTGTGTTCACCCGCCGCGCGGGTGGGTGAAAGTCCATGGCTTGATTTTTCAGAGGATGGTCCAAGTCTAAATCCTAGCGCCATCAATATTCTTTTTAGTATTGTTTGATTTTGGTCGCAACAAAAGCTTCAGAAATACGCTTATTTTTATCAACCTTCAGAACTACGTTGTGGGCTCCCACCTGTTGACAAAAAAAAAACTCTTTACGTACAAAAGTCTTTACTGTGTACTGTCGAGTTGAGTTCAGCCTGCTCGGCATTCCACCTCTCACCGAAGGAATTCGAAGGCCTTTGCTCTATTTATACTTTATTTGATACAGGTTGCCCGGGAGTGGGGACGATCGCGCTACACGGTTAAAAGGCTACAGCTGCACATCGAGGCATTGGAGCTCTAGATAGCCATGGGGCATGCAGACCGAGAAAGACAACCTTCCACAAAAAAAGAAAACTACTGTACTTCGTACACGGCCATATTCGCATACACGATCATCGACCTTACCACTATCAACAAGCGAAATGCATGTACCTATGTGCACGTGAAGCCTAACCCAAACACGGGTCGCCATACCATGCTATCGTGTGCCATCACTCAGCTACAACAGCACACACAACCGACTTCAACCAACCATCTCCAGTCCTTATGTACTAATTGACACACCGAACGACATCGGACCATCGATTCTGGTCAGCACGCCCAGCAGGCTTCTCTTGGTGGAAAGGAGTGCAGCGCATCACCAAGCCAAGTCTTGCATCTAGATATAATTTCTTAGACCACATGGCCAACACATGAACGCATGAAGTTTATGCAAAGCAAACGACAGCCAAATCGGACAAAAAAAAAGAGACACTACAACCACCGCTCGATACAACCATTTGCGTGCTTCGGAATGAAAGCACCAGGCGATTGGCGGGACAAACTTCTAGCGGGGAGCAAGCACCCCGTCAAGACGGAGATCGATCCCTCCGTCCTCAGCAACACCGAGAATAGACGGGGCTTTGTATGTTCCCTTGTGACAAAAAACACCTACTTCATTATGAAGGATCTGGACTACAACATACACCTCACTCGCAGCCTTGGCAGTCGTTGCCTACGTGGTGCCCTTTCACCTTGAAGGGGGGGGGGGGGCTCACGTGTGTTCTAGTCTAAAATGGCAGGTTTACCAGTACTTACTAGCGCACAGTACACGTATACATAGTGTAAATGGCCTCGTGCACGTGAGGAAAGCACACCTTCACTCATTGAGACACTATTCTGAAGCCGAACAATACGCAACAGACAAAAAACAAAAACGCCTTCCCGTTCGCTCTACAGAGCCCGTTTGTAAAGACGAAAAACACACAACGGACAAGAGAAAAATAACAAGAATCGAAAAGAGATGGATAAAACAAAACTATGGGAGGACGCTTTCTTCCCATTCGCTCCACAAACAGAGCGCGTTAGGCGGGACGCCCTAACACCTTCTCTCCGGCGAAAACCTTAGAGGAGGCCATCTTCCTCCGCTTCTTCGATCGCCACGTCTGCGGCTACGTCCGCGTCGACCAGGCCCTCGTCGGCCAAGAGACCGCCGTTCTCTGCTGGCACGAGGGCGTTCGCCTCCTGGTTCTCCGCCAACTCCTCGGCGTTCTCCACGATCTCCGCCGGGGTCTCGGTAGCGCTGGCGTCACCTTCGACGCTCTCGGCCACAGGCAGCGGGACTTCGGCGAGCTCGCTGTACGGGAACGTGGAGGAAGATCGAAGCAGGAGATTTTGAGAGGGGGAGAGGTAGGGCTGAGGAGGTCCCACCAATCAGGAGGAGGCGTGCGTCGGTAACGGAGAATGTGTGGGTGCCGGGAACGTTGTGAGGAATCCAACTCATGTCAGTCAGTGGGGCAGCTGACGTGATCCGCCATATACTGCCTGACGTATGTTGTACAAGAGGACAGCAGAGGAAATGAACGCTGCAGTCCCATAGAAGAGGCAGAGTTGGGCAACAAGCATCGGGGTCGGAGGATTGGATCGATAGTCCGTGATGTTCGGTGTAATTTGAACGCGATTTGTCCGGCGAAGCTCGATGATACATAGTCGCCTTGTGGCTGTTGGCTCGGCCATTTTTTCTGTGGCCCGAGCCCTCTTGTCTTGGCGCGCTTCGCTTTCGACAATGACTGGCATCACATCTGCTAGGTTTGCACTCAGCTCGTCCCGCATACGCTCAAGACCGGTTGTTTTCGCGAACAAAAGCACGTTGCATATATATTCTCGTCTCTCTTCTTTCTTCTGCCGTCGAACCGTCACCATGCAGTCTTTCTCAACGACGCTATCCTGGTCACAAGAAGCAACTCGTGTCGCGGAACCACACACGACAACGGTTTCACAGATACAACTTCCATACAGAATGCCGCCAAGACAAACATCTATTTAGTGCCCAAATTCGGGGGAACTTGCGGTGCCCCCCCTCCCCCCCCCCCCTCCTATCGTGCGTATTGCGGCCGACAGTTCCATTCTCACCTGGCATCAGGCTTGGTGCCCACCCTTGGGACAGTGGAGGCGTCATCGTCCTTGAGGTAGTAGGTGGTGTCGGTGCCGTAAGTCTCGGTGTCTTCGATGGAGAGCCCAGTCGTGGGGATCTGTTTCGGTCCGTTCGTAAACATTAGTAAGAAGCAGAAGAAGGGAGATGCCGTGATTGTTACAGGTAGATAGTTACGAGGCGAGGTTTCGGGAAGTGAGAAAGGGCTTCGAAGTACGATGCCACCACCGTACGTGATGTGCCAGGCGAATGCCCAGAGACTTGAAAGAAGGGAGCTACAGCAGTGTCTTCCCGGCGCTCTCCTACGAAATGCCCATTTTGAGCAGGATATTTCATGGACTCTTCGATTGCGCCATGGTTCCTTACCAGGTACCTGGTGTGATGTAAACTATATGGCTTGCGTAATAATTCAAATTCGACGTAAGCTATGATCTTCAGAGGATTTTCTTTGTCAGCGGGGGCCAGCACCGCACAAGCATAAGCTCCATAAGCCGCAAGCATGAAACCGCAAATCTGTTTCCAGACCATTGTAGTGAGTCTCGATACTTACCGAGGCGGCGGAAGCGGTCGGGACGGTAAGTGGCACGAGGCCGGCCCCGCTACCCGAGACGTAGGACAAGCCGGTAACAGCCCCGGTTTCGTCTAGGGCCATGGTGACGTACGGGCTCGAGTCGTCCAGGGCCTCGTGGAGCGTGAACTCGGTGCAGAGGTCGTCGAACTTGATGCTCTGTTCGGGGCAATTGAGGAGATGCAGGGGAAGGGTGAGGCGTGAACCCATGGACCAAAGCTTGTGACCTCGTCTATCATCATCACGTGGCGTCAGATTTGGTCGTTTTCGGTTTCAATACAGCGAGGCATGGCTCACCTTAACCGGGAAGGTGATGTAGCTGGAGAACACCTCCAAGACGCGCTCGTACCAGTAGTCGAGCAGGGACTGGCTTCCGTCGCCGACGTCCCCTGCCGGGATGATGTTGGCTTGGTGGAACATGTACTTGTCCCTGTTGCCATCCATTCGCGACAGGAGGGAGTGTTCCACGCGGAGAGGTTCGTTCGACATACGGGGCCGGGGTTCGATCAGTTAACATGGGAGTACAACAGCATTCGATCAACAGGCCGCAGGCTTAGAGGCGGAAGATTCGACATCTCAAGTAACGCCCGGGACACGGTCAGTGCATCCCATCGAAAAACACGCCGAGAAAAGGCGGATCAAGTGCGCACCAGGAGGAAGCATCGGAAAACAAAATCCACCACAACTGTTCTAGCGTTCTTTCCGACACGGGACAAACCAAGCACACACATCAATAAAACGCTTAATACCAACAATGCGATGTACGAGAATGCACACGGATACATAACTGAAAAGACTCCACCACATCCCGTTCGAACGAGGGTATATCTCGAACGGGTAGTCTTTCTGTGTGTGTACTATCTCGAACGGATAGAAAGATCAAGAACAAACAAAAGGGAAAGCGAACGACACCGAAAACATAGAAAAAAAACGCAACAAGGACCACGACCAACCTGCGGCCGGTCAGCATGTAGCGCGTGGTGGTGGAGGCCTCGGCGTCGAAGAGGGCCTCGATGGAACCCAAGGACTGGATGTCGGTGGCGCCATCGTCGTCGACGCATTCGTCTGCCGTGCTCGTGCAAGTCTGTAGCGTTGGGAATGGAAGGGGATGGAGCGGAGAGGAAGATCGGTCAGTGCAGGGACGTAGTAAAGACTGCAAGCACCTGTATGCATGTAGGTCAAAGTACGACTGCCTGGCATTCGTACCGCGAGATACAAGTGGTGACACCAGTGCATAAGATAGCATCGAAAATGCGTCGTTTCCTTTATGCTGCTGCCTTCGTTGTTGTGTACCGACCCTACCGACCACGTGCTACCGGCAGACATTGTACCGTCCGGCACTTTCGAGAAAACTCACGTAGTCGGCGATGCTCGGGTCCAGCGGGGTGCACTCGCATACGAAGCGCCTGATGTACTCGTTCTCGTTCACGAGGCACTGCAAAAGAGCCGGAAAAGGGAAGAAACAGGTGGACAACAACGGAGACAGGGTAAGCGATCTTCGCACAGCATGGCAATTGCTACAGAGACAAAGAGACGATAAGACAAAACACAAAACAACCAACCACGTCATCGTATCATCCATGATCGAACGGAATTCGAGTCGCCAAAGCAAACATTGTACGTGTGTTCGGGCCGCGACGCTTTTCAGAATGGCGACGGAACACCAACCAGAAACGGCCAAGCACCCAAGCCAAAAGCGGTCGTAAGAAACGTATTTTCACTGAACGGTTGTACACGTTACGAGACGAGGCAAAGAGAGAGCCGGGTTGAAACGGAACCTACGCAGAGACTCAACGATCATTCGCACGGTCGCGAAATTTTGGGTCGTGCACCAAAAACACACACAAGAACAACAATAGATTCACGACAGGAAGTTAGGCGAGGGATGCTGCATGAGTCTGTACATCACTGAGTCTCTTACAGAGCCGCTGACGCAGTTGAAGTACACGAAGGTCGCGAATCTGGGCACGATCTGGGCACCATCGTAGCCTGTATGTTAACACATGGTTAGGAAGAAAACGCAAGCGGCATTGGTGCAGAGAAGCAGGCTGTGAGTACAAGAGGGAAGGGGGCGACTGGAGAGAGGTCCGAGATCGCGGAAAGGCGGCCCCACTTCCGGGCGCCGTGACCTTCAACACGCGACGTATCTGTCTGATGTAGACCACTGGGTCGATGACCTTGTAAGCCCGCACCGGACGCCTCTCGACCAATAATAACCGCCGTGGTGTATGTACACGGTGTGATTGTGATGATAACCAGCCGTCGTCCCCCTCGGCGCTGGGACAACCAACAACTACATCGGACCCGCGTGGCAAAAGCCCGCACCGGACACGCGGCACGGACCAGCTTAACTCGACGACGGAAACAACGGCTGCTCAGGGTATGGAAATTCACCGTCCAAAGAGTGCCCTTCTTGGTGCAACCCTACGAATGAAATGGCACTGGCTGCAAGAGGAACACTCGTTGGCGACGGAGGTCCAGACTGCATGTGCACTGGAACAGCATTGGCGGCATGTCCGCCAAAAAAAGGTCAAAGCACCCCGAGAACACAAACACATGTAGGCGATAAGTGATACGAGGAAACGGGTCGTTTCTACAACGACAAGCAAAAATGTATGTATTAAAGGCCTGTGAGGTAGTACACGTTACCCTCCCTCACCGTTGTTGGAAGTCGTGGTGTAGATCGAGTGGAACTGGTTGTCTTCGTTGACCAAGATCGCGGCACCGGACACGGTTCCGTCGAAGGTGTTGTCGCCAGGGTAGCACACCATGAGGTTCTGTGCCGCCGAGTCGAGGCAGTTCTCGTTGAAGAGACCCGTGATGCCGGGCGAGACCATGGAGCGCCAGTTGTAGTTGTCGCTGTCCCACATTCCGGTCATGAGAGCGATCTGCACGTTACCTGAAACATGTGAGAAAATAGGGGGTAGAAAAAGGGAATTGGTAATTGTATTGCTTTCACGTTCTCCCACATGCCGGTCATGACAGCGTTCTGAACGTTACCGAAGGTACACATTTGAACAAGTGATTCTTCTGGCCAAACACCCGATTGCTTCCCGACGAGCGGTAGAGAAAAAACCGGCGACTCTACCCTTTCGTGTCAACCAGACCGTTAAACAACGCACGATGCGTCGATGAACACTCGTTAATCCAGGATTGTGAATCTCGTAGCGTACGACTCTCACCGGTGTCCTCGGTGACGCAGTCCGTCTCGCGAAGCTGGTCGCGGGACAGGTGGATGAGGGTGTGGTGGCCGTGGTAAAACGTGGAAGGCGTGTCGAGGTGGCTGATCACCTCGACGAGAAGGTCGTCGTTGGCCTCCCAGGTGCCGTCGGCCATGTCTTGCTGCATGAGAGGCACGTTGGTGGCGAGCCAGTTGGTGTCGTGCACGTTGATCTGACCTGAAACCACAGGAAGAAGATGGGTCGAGGGGGGGGGGTTGCATCCGAAGATTGCACGGGTGTACGTTAATGGTGGAATCCACATCATTGGCGATCACATTACATTCATAAACGATGTGTCCATGTGCCATCGACACATTCAGGACTCTATATACAACATATTCTCCCTGTTCACGATGCATGTTCATCCGCTACTTCGGTGATTCAGCCAAATGTGAAAAGAGGAGAGACAGAGACATCGTCTCACCTTGATCACAAATGTAACCCAGGGTGCGTGTGAACTAGGCAGTAGGCAAGTCAAGCTCTTGAAACATGCGTGAACCCATGGGCCTTGATATCGGGCGGCCAGCGTGTACTAGCTCAAGCAATGAGAATATTATGTCCAGAAATGGCTGTCCTTGGTTCGAAAGTACCGATTCTTTCAGCTCATGTCACTTTGTAGTTGCGCCGGTATTCTACTTCAGTTGTGTTGAGGACAACATTTTCACTCAAACTGTAGGTTTCAGCACGGATGGTGACGTCTGCGAGGAGGTCAGAGCGAGGTTCAGTGGCCACCTGCAAGACAACCAACTCACCGTCTTCGAACCACTTGGTGCCCTTGAGGGTCACCATGGTCTCCTCGTAGTTGGGGACGTACGTGATGCCTTCCACCGATTGTGATACCTGTTACGTGGTGCCACAACGACAAGAACACGTTAGATGAGCTGTTAAGCACCCACCCTGAAAAATGTCGCATGAGTCTATCGCCAAGACCACACAGATACCCAAGGGGCCAATTGTTCATTTCACTATCCGACGAATTTCTTGGTCAGCGAAAACGACCACGGAACACCCCACTGTTCGTCTTGACATCCATTGCCATGCTTCGTGTTGCAAATGCACATATCTTTCATCCCAAGCGTCAAGCGACACCCCGAAACAAAACCAACGAGATCTGCACCCTACATATCAAACGCACATGCTCCGCAATCCCGCCGCCGTTGAAGGCGAACTCGGTGATGATTTCCGACCCCGAGTACTGGGTGTTGAGGGCTTGCTGCACGCTGAGCAGTTGGCTCAGGTCATCGCCCGTGCACCGCTGGGAGACCGCAGCCTCGTTCATTCCTCCGTCGTACTCGAACTCAGGGGTGGAGAGGAAGAGGTCGTCGACAACCGCTCCCAGGTAGAAACGGCGCTCGCCCTAGTCCATGGGGGTCGGAGGGTCGGACGGAGGTATAGATGGGGGCAGCAGGGAACTCACTAGATGCTTCGCCACAATCGCTTGTCTTCTTGTAACCAACCGCGCGTCTCTCGCGGGACGGAGTTTTGTCCCTACTCTGAATAAGGCTTAATGGTACGATTTTGGGAGTCTCAAAACATGTGTGCATTGGGCGATACAGTATCGCGACTTCATGAATAGGCACAAGGGGTCGGCGATGGGGTAGTAGTGGTCCTGCTGCTGCGAATGGGCAGCATTATTTTATCATCATCGACCAGCGCTGGACATCCACCTGGAGCAAACAATCGAACAAACCAGGTTCGCTTTTCTTCCATGAGCTGCCGCACTCTAAAGTAGACCTACATATGGCGGGCACTACTGCAGAGAAAAAAAAACGCTTAGTACACCGTGAACGGTGACAACGACATCAGCAGAGCACCATCAACGACCAAACACGCACCATGAAGATGCCCTTGGTGGCCCACTCGTTGTAGAAGTGCGCCCACGGCCACGCGCCGGCGTCAAACCAGCCGATGGTGTTGAAGACGTGCAACTCCTCGTGGCCGTCAGCACCGGTGTAGCTGAGCACCGCAGCGTTCTCCTGGTCACCCGCGGCACCGGAGAGGTAGGGCTCGCCGGCACTATCGACATACCTGCACATCGGGCGGGACAGGATGGATGGATGGGAGGGGAATCAGAAGGGTAACCTCAAGGGTACCCGAACAAAGCGTTCCAATGACGAACAATATGCTTCTGCGGATCGCGTGGGGCAGCGCATACCCCAGATATTTAGCACCAGTCTTTTTGGGGTCTCTCTTCTGTCTCTTTGATACGCTCGCAATTGTTTTCGCCAGAATGAACAAAATGAACGGAACGCGGGTATCGCCATGGCCATCACAAAGCAGGAAACACTCACTGCGCGAGGACCTCGATCCCCGCCTCAGGAACCGCGTTGATGATCACCGGGTAGCTGAACAGGGCGGGGGTGAAGAGGTTCGGGTCGGTCTGGAAGCCGGGCTGCGTGATAGACACCTTCTCATCACCCAGGGCTGGACGGGGGAGTGGTCGAAAACAAGAACCGAACGAGTGGCAGCAGGTGCAAAAATGACTAGAGGTTAGACTTACACATACATAGTATAGTGCTTACGAGCAGCAGTTCTAAATAGAGGACAATGGGAGATCGAGGGGAAGGCTCTCGCGGGGGGTGGGGGAGAGAGAGGAGCACGAGGCAAGGGCAAGCAAGTTTGGATGAAAACTGCCCTGGGTGATGAGAAGGACGACGAAGGCTTGCGGCAGCAGGCGGTTCGGGTGAGAGCTGGAAGTGCGGGGATGAGACTTCTCCGCCGTACAGTAGCAAGTGTTGAACAAATGACGGAAAGCAAAGCAAAGCGTGGCTTCGCTGCTTCCGCTGTGCTTAGGAACGAGATTGGGCGAGGGGTGAACCTCACCGCTGAGCTGCACGTACGCAGGAGTCATGATGTCGCCGGCGAAGTACGTCTGGATCCCGAGCTTCGTCGTGAACTCTGCGGTGGTGTGGGTGAGAGCGGACGGCAAGTACACAAGACGGACCTGCACAAAGAAACAAGAGAACCGAAACAGACATTTAGAGAGAGATCGCACGCAACGGCAACGGCAAGGATAAGAGCCTGTTGCAGTTCGGGATTGACAAGACACTTTATCCCGCCACATAAAAGGTTTTACTGTAGCAACTGACACATCAAGTTGACGTTCGAATTTCTGGATCCAAGCCAAGAAAACGCACACCCGCACAAAACAAGATTAGATCAACAGACGTCCCCCTCGACACTGCTCTTGGTGACTTTTTTTGTGTGGAATCCCACAGCGCACAAGGAGCCCGAATACCATCTAACTCGAGTTCTACTGTTTGGCGTCGATAGACAAACGAGTGATTCAGGCAGAAATTTACACACGAGAGTATTCTACATTCACCGATCGATGGCATTTTCAACGAACGTACGATGTCGAGGTTCCCACATAAACAAGCACACATCGACTAGACCATGCCACAGGAGGCTACATACGACCTCGAAGACTGAAACTCGCGTGCCCTGTTGCTAGTACCTTGTACTGTGCCGAGTAGGCCGTGAGAGCGGCAACCTGAGCCGTCGACGGCGCGTAGCCGATGTACACGGCGTTGCACTTTCCGTGGGGCGTGGCGTCGGTCGAGTCCACCAGAAGGGCCGTTAGGTCGTCGGTGTCAGACACGACAAACTCCTCCTGAAGCGACGGCAGTGGTTTCGAAGGCGTTTGTTGCACGGCGTGGGTTAGGAGTGAATCATGGGTGGGGGGGGGGGGGAATTGGATGGGCGCAACTTTGACTGGTGAACCTAGCCGAGGGCTAAAGCGCAACATCGGCAATAGACGCAACATCGGCAATAGACTGCTGAATTGCCTGGTTGTTGAACGCCGCCAGAATTGCTCACACGAACGAGCGGCACGCAACCTGTTTGTTGTTCGTGATGACCTACAAACCCTGATGCCCGACGGGGGGGACCCGCTAGAAATGCACTCAGCTGACATTGGATCCAATTCCTACAGCGTAGGGGTCGGCGGCTCACTGACTGCGCCAGGTCGTTCGCCTGTCCTCTCGCGGGTACACCCACCCTTTGGAGGAACGCCATCCGCACAGGAGCTTCGTTTCGAGACACAACTAAAGAAGCACCCGTTCGTTGACTGTTGTGTGCAGCAAATCTCGAAACGTACAATACCAAGGGGGGAAAAGAACTCACCGTCTTGGGAGACCAGTATCCCTTGAAGAACAGGGACATGACGTACAGTCCCGGGTTAGTCGATTCTCCAATCTGAGTCACAAAGAACAACAACAAACGGAAACGAACTGGTTAGCGGTAAGTGTGGTATCGGGGATACATTTGGTGAGGGTTGAGCATAAGGAGTGTAACGGCAGCGGCAAGGGGAAACCGGGAGAGGGTGTTGGCAGGGAAAACGCACACAAGCCAATAAAAAACGGGCCAAGCGCGCAGACGCAATGTTTCTTTTCGTTTCGTCTTGTCTTTTCATCTCAGTTCACCACCCCCGTCACTTGCTTGGGCTTCCTCCAGCCCCTGAACGCTCGTGACTACCGTTGCCACATGTGTTAAACAAATTACCTGCACAATTCGAAAGACACCGTGTAGCCATGCAGGAGAATCCGCACACGAAAACTAAGGAAGAGTAACTTTATGGCATATATTCACTACTACGTGCAGGCTGATCATGTATGGCATACGCACCGCCACGGTAGATAACAGGCAGGGCACCAAGTCGACGAGCACGTCTCCGGTGACAGGAGGGGCCGTGGCGGGCGAAAGCGTGGTAGGCGGGGCCGTGGCAGGCGGGGCCGTCGTAGGGGGAGCCGTGGCAGGCGGGGCCGTCGTAGGGGGGGCGGTGGCAGGCGGGGCGGTAGCAGGCGGGGCCGTAGTAGGAGGGGCGGTGGCAGGCGGGGCCGTTACAGGGGGCGCCGTGGTAGGAGGGGCTGTCGCGGGCGGGGCCGTTGCAGGGGGAGCCGTGGTAGGAGGGGCAGTGACGGGCGGGGCAGTGGCAGGGGGTTCCGTGGTAGGCGGGGCCGTGGCAGGCGGGGACGTCACGTCTGTTGTCATCGTTGACCGCGCAGCAAAAGCGACACAGGAGGGGGAAAGGGGATTGGGAGCAGGATCAGACCATCGCCAAACGATCGCATCCATCACCAGCACCACCACCACCGCCCAAAAAAACTGACGATTGCATACGAGAGAAGTCGATTCGACATCGAAGAGGGTCTGCGCGCACTTTCGTCCTCATCCTTACCGTCCATGGCGAATACGTCCATGGCGTTGAAGCCACCGCACGTGGACAGCACGTCCCCGGTGCAGCGGTACCCGCACGCGTCGGACGTGCCGAGGCGGGTGTAGTCCTCGTCCGCAAGGCCACAGAAGCACCTGAAACCGCGAGTTAAAACCGAGGGGGGCCAAAAAAGGAGAAATGGAGAGTCTAATTTCAGAGGGGAGGGCGCGCGGGAGGGGGGAGGCGTGTTTGCCTCGGAAGAAGAGCTCCGAACGTTATGCAGGGAAACACTGACAAAGGCAGTCCTCCTGCCCCAACACCCATCATTTCTGTCCTGCTACTGCTCCAAAACCGCAACAAACTCGTTCTGCCATCTCTTGCTTTTTCTGCCAGCGCTCCTAACCCAGCATTTGACGAAATAGGAGAACTTCCACACGCCGTAGTTGCAAGCTACACAGAAGACCCACACGCGTGCACTTTTTACAAACCACGTGTATACAAAAGATACGAAGCGTCTACAGCGGTGCCACTCACTCTTCGCTGTACTGGAGCCCGTAGTACGCGAATCCAGCGCAGGTGGCCTTGCAGGTCTGCGAGGTCGACGGAAGGAATGCAAGACATGAGAGTGTCGTCGGAACGGATCATGCATGAACATTCCATGCGAAAGGAAGGTCTCGGTGTCGATCGAGCCTAAAAAAAACACCAAAAACAGCGTTTGCTTTTGAGCGACACCAGCAAAAAAAAGAATACCCCTGTCTTGGAACGCGGCCGTTCGTTCGTGCAGATATATGGGGTGCGATTCTGCCCAGCTCTTGAACCGGAACAACGACACCTTTGTGATTAGAGACAGCTTCGTTCTGCCGCTAGTGACAAAAAAAAAAAAAACATATGCAAATACACACCTCCGCGGTGTTGCTAGCGCTGGCCACGAAGGGGTTCGAGAACAACCTGGAGCTCTGGGAATCCACGAAGCAGCCGAGGTACCCCTCGGGCTTATCCAGGGCCCCAAGCTCGAACGCGTGGAAGGAGTCGAAACCCCCGCACGACAAGCTCGCGTCGCCGGTGCAAGGGTAGTCGCACTCGGACATCTCGAGCGCGCCCAGCCTGTCGTACTCCGTGCCCGACGTTCCGCACCAGCACCTGAAAGGTGTCAATAAACATCGACAGAGGGGCGGGGGGGGTTGCAACTCAAGGGTGGTCGTTTGTGTGTAGGTCATCTCACCCGTTTCGCGGATATTTTCCTGATCATCGTGCAATCAAACTTAAGACATAAACGTCGCATGAAAGCACTCGCCAGAAGGCGATCGGCGTCTGTGAACAGCAGTGTTTCTAGTGGACTACTTTTGCTCCTGCTGCACCGCCACAGGTGCCGAATAGACGCCCACTCTCTCTCTCTCTCTCTCTCTCTCTCTCTCTCTCTCTCTCTCTCTCTCTCTCTCGGAAATTCAACTTGTCGCCCCCGTCAACTATGCCTGCCCTCTGGTCTATGGATACATAGTCTCCCCTCTTCCGCTACCGACGCCCGTCGGCCTTCCTACAAGCGCAGCAAGCAAGGTTCAACGAGACAAGCGACATCCACGTAGACGGAGATCCGACATCGGCCACTCACTCTTGCCCATACTGCACGCCGTAGAACGTGTAGGTGCCTTCATCGAGGCAGTAAGCGGCGCACACCTGAGAAGGGAAATGAAAGCCAACAGCGCGAGCGAGGAGGGGCGGGGAGTTTCAAGATGCCAACGTGCACCGGGGTAACTAAATAGATCTCCGCCGATGTTGCCAAGGATGCGAGTGTCCGGCTGGACTCATCATCCCTACAGAGTAGTCGACCGGTTGTTTTTGAGCGCACCAATATTTCGTCTTTCGAAAAAAATCACCTGCGGGTCATGCATGCTTTCGGTCGAACAAAACAATCGACCTCACAGCAGGAGGATCGGGTGCTGTGGGGTTGTTTGGGAACAAAAACAAACCGTTTGTAATGCATGGGGAAAAATATACCAGTACTCCGTATCATATGTTTCCTCAACACCGCGGCGGTAAAACAACGATTGACGTACGAGGCGGATACTAATCAAAGCGGGTGCCACCCTAAACAGCAGTGAGAGTAGTTCCGGGTGTGTGTGCCGGAGTACCCAATATGGTAATGGAAATGGGCGGAGACGATGGAGACAAAAAAAAAACAATATATTCAGAACAGCAGCTCCGAAATCTGTTCGTTGTTGTGGTCATCACTTGGACATTTTAGTTTAGGCTAATTGTGCGACTCGTACGCACGGAGGGAGACTATGCAACAAACCTACATGAGCACCAACTGCTGTTCTTGTGGTGTGGGGTCGCTGGCAAATAATGGGATGGTTGCCAGACACAGAAAACAACATACCCCCGGCGGGCGCGCCCCCCCTCCACTCTGTAACTCGGTTAGGGGAATGTGCCAACAACAAGTACGTACATCCGGCGTCATGTCGCTCTGTCGCATAAGCCCCGATTGGAGCACACGGTCCGACTGGCTGTCCCTGTAGCATCCCAGATCGGTCGTCACCAGTCCGTCAGGCAACTGCGAAAGAAAAAAAAGTGTTGTTGTAATGGACGGGCAACAACGGGGGCGATTTCGCGCAAAACGGCGCTCGTTCGTGAGGCACTGCGCATGTTATTCAATCGATTCGTGAAAGGAGATCGATCAGTCCAGTGCTGCAGCTGAAATGTAACAGCAGTAGAATTTTACTTGCAGCGCTGTTGCTTTTTCCCCGTTGGCGTATGTTGTTGTTGTTGTTGTTGTTGTCTTCACATTAAAAACCGTTCCGATCTCTCTCTACCCAGTACCTTCGTATGTCCGTACTGACCCAACACTCGACGCGGTCGATTCCCGTGGTCACAGCTAGGTTAACTTACCCTAAAAAGGTACACTCAAATACACTGGCCCCGAGGGGTCCGCAAGTCAATAGAAATCAACGACAGATATTCTGGGATCCTCCACTCCCTCTTCGCGCTATGCGAGGTATCAACTGAGACTAGCAGTCACTATCTATCATGGGCTGGAGAGAAAGAGGTACACCCCCTTGGTTCAATCTTGGTACTTTACAACGCAAGCAGAGACAAGGCCTTCTGGCACAGAAAAAGAGAGAAAAAAAGAGAGAAAAAAAAAAAAAAGAGAAAAAAAAGGAGAAAAAATAAAAATGGAAACCGTAGTAAGGACAAGAGAAAATAAATGAAAATAAAATGAAAAAGGGCGAGGGCAAAGAGGGACCAGGCCGAAAATAACACGAAGTATGAGGCAGAACAAGGCACACGGTGGAGAGACCCTAACGAACAAGCAAACAAGCAAACACGCAAACATGGCCACCAACCAGCGATACATTGTTATGGTACGAAATAGCTACTACTGGGGGGTTGGTGCAATGGTGCAGCGTTGGGGGGGGGGAATTGGCGTATGAAAGAGGCGTATAAATCCACAGTCGACTATTGCTTCGTACATAAATATTTGTAGTCAACTACGTAGTCGATGCGTCGGTAATCAGCACATGACTTGAACCCATCAGTACTCTGCAGAAAACTGCACATTGAAGATTGGATCTTCATCATGGAAATACAGATCATGTTCTTCCTAGGGCGGGTGTGGGCAGTGGGCAGGTGCACCTGCTCCTTGAGAGGGCAATTAGCCCATCAATACACCGGATTGTTTTGCTGAATCCTTCGGGCGATCAAAATGAGTAGAGACATTTCGCTAAGAATCATCCGAAAGAAAATTGGCTGATCTATCTCACCCTATATAAGGGGATACCCGGAACAACCGGGAGGTTGTAAGAGAGGGACCAGTTTTAGGCGCTCACAGTCAGTAGTTGCTGGGTCGATTAGGTATGTGCCGACTACAACTGTACCGACAACAGCACGCAAGTGCACTCATGACGATGTGGTTCTTGTGTCAAATTTGTCTGCCGCAACGATACTCAGCTCTAGATTATTTGGTGGCTTCTTGTACCCAACGGACAAGTGCAGCGATGAGTTGTGCGAAAAAGACATCAAGCGTGCAAACCAACACTGGAGTTTCCTATGCTAGCGCGAAAAAGGGATCCCCATCAATTTTCACGAGAGGACATCACGTTGTACGTATAGTCCGGGCTGCTGGACGTATCGACAACGTATGGCAAGCGACAACAGACATTTCCGGAAGGATTGGTTCAGAACATGTTCCTAAAGAACGGCGGCTGTGAAGGTTTGAAGGGTATCAGACTCTGCCACAGGGTACCAACAGCGAATGCAGAGCCCGTGTTGTAGGCCGGCGTAACACCGCCCATAAAAAACGAAGATGCGCACGCACGCAACACAAACCAGCGCTGCATCGCTGCAATGCCAAAAAAATGCGCACCACCAGTCTCAATATTGTTCCCTGGCAACGGCCAGAAAATTACCAGACGCTCAAAACTTGTGGTCCTCTCGATGATGGACAGCAAGTTAGCAAGCTGCGTTCAGTAGCAAACGGCCCGCCTCTACAAGACAGGTGCAAGGAGGCTGAACGCAGGATCACGGATCGTGTCAACGGCGTGCCAAGGCGCGTGCCACATTGCATTTCCAACCTTCCAAGGTACTCCCACGATGCGGCTTGCGCGACACGCGACTACGGCGAGAACGAGACGGCTGTATCGGGAATACAAGGCGGAGAATCTTTATCTTGGCGAAAAACCTGTGCTCTCCATACGCGAGATTCACGGACACAGCACGAGTGGTGCCTCGGCCCGACAAGTTCGCATATTTCTCGCATATGTCGCGTCTGCCTGTGGCGGTGGCTGGCCTATGCTTGGCGGCTACAGGAGTTGCACGCGCCTGAACGTGGGAGAAATCACATGGATACTCTCGGATTATCATTAGCTCGGGTTAACTGCTGTGTAATGCTGCTCAGCACAGCAGTTGATCTCTTTTGCAACTGGATCCAGCCTTGTGAGCATCGCGTCTTAACGTGACGTTGCGCGTCCCCCACGATGGTGAGCACACGCACGCGTGACGGGCTGCACATGCACCAAGTCTACTCTGCCGGCGGCGGCGGCGGCGGCGGCGGCGGCGGCGGCAAGGAAAGGCCTCTTCGCTTGAAACATCTTTCTCAAGAGAATAGACGAAAAAACAACACACACCGAATGAATCCAACAGCAGCATCACCACCACCTGACGCGAGACAGCAACGGATTACTGCAACCGACGCTGGGCCTTGCCGAGTCCTCACCGTGGATTGAAGCCTGCGGGCAGCAGGGGGAGCGACGGAGACGTCTCCATGGGCGCGAATCCCCGCGGCGTTAGCAGTGGCCGCCCAAAGGGCGCCTGTCGCCAACGCAAGCTGCTGCGCTCGCGGCATATCACAGCAGCGCCAAATATCAGACTTGTTCTGGAATCCGAAGGAAGACCTCGCGTTATTATTGTTCTCTTCCCTATTGCCCCCCTGGTTGATCGGAAGGGAGGGGTGTGGAGGAGGCACCAGAGAGGAGAGAGGAGTGACAGCAGAGGGTGTGTGTGGCAAATCAGACGTGAGAAGTCTGGGTGGCGAGAGGAGTGGATGACTTGGGGCCGGTTGTTGCGCGTTATCTTTTCCGGCGTGTCCGTCGTGAGAGAGTCTTCTGAGCTTCTGAGAGGCCAGTGCACGGCTTGCGATACATCTCTCTTTTTTACTTTGAACCACACACCACAAGAACTCCAAGAAACCGCTTCGCGCGATCGGATAATTTGTTTGCATTACATTACTCGGGGTAAGCATGTGACGAGGTATTCGCAGATTGTTCCAGGCCGAATTAATTTCATGCACCCTAGGCACGCAAGGAATCAACGATCTGGGCTCGGGGTATGTGTCTACGTGTCTACTCTTACCCGCCGCTTGTGTTTTCACAGGGGTGCACCTGGAACATGTTGGGAACTCGACGACAGGAATGCCTGTAGATCTCTCGTTGGATCTTTGGATCGTCCGTTGTAACGACCGTTTACTTCGGGTTATAATAGCTGCCGTTGGATCCCCCTAAGAGGCTCGGATTCTGGAGACACGTGTGCAATGGCAAAACCTGTTTATCTCCGATGTGTCAGCTGGCAGAGTGCAAATAACCTTCCATGCGTGGCCTTGCTTTGAGTATTGTACGCAGCGACGGTGAGGGGAGAGCTCGAAGGCTTCAGACTTAATTCTTGCAGAATTGTAAAACAGGTGGCAGCAGTATATCGACCGATGTGTGAGACGGCACCAGGCGCTGCTGTGCTGCTAAAACGCGCTTCTGTAGAGTCACCACCACCACAGCAGGACACAGCAGCAGCAAGGAATACCGCACGTTGTATTGTCCAGCGGCTTGCACCGATTTCGAAATATGTACAGCAGTGTAGACGTTCGACAACGCGATCCGGCGGGGTGGATATACAGCTCGATATAATAGCTGCCGTTGGCTATCCTTGGCTATCCCGGTAAATGCTACTACTTACTACTACTGTAGTTCGTACAACAGTACACTGCTGTATGTAGCTGTGAATCTATCATCTGTGCACCTCGACCTCCACAAGGACGCCGCACATACTACGCATATGCACAGATATATATACAGCAGTTGCTGACATACACATGCAGCCGCCGCTGCAGCAGTGGAGATACGATATCAACAATGGTTGCGAACAGAGGCACGAAACCGCCGCTTTTTTTCTCGCGGTGTGCAGCCAGTCTACCGACACAGGGGCGGCACGATCGGGAGAGCGGTTGACGAACGTTAAACGTTCATGTACGATCGCGTTCTGTGCGCGCCTTTGCAGCAGCACGCACAGTAGTTGACGGTCTAGCCCTACTTCACTCCACCTGGTAAATAACAGGGGCGGCACGATCGAGAGAGAGAGAGCGGTTGACGAACGTTAAACGTTCATGCACGATCTCCTCTGTGCGCTCCTTTGCTGTAAGTTGTTGATGGTCTACATAGATATAGCCCTACCTCACTCCACCTACCTGGTATCACCATCCGGTCAAGTCTCCGACGAACCGAATTTTATGAATGACGCCATCATCTCCAAACCCACCATCGCCCACAATAACGTCACTAGCGGCGCTTCAGCTAGCGTTCACTTCTGGATACGAGGGCCATCACCAGCCGCAGTTGGTATCTCTCGACACCTGCAACGCCTGTCGCGAATCGGTGGCCATCCGTTTACGTCTCACAGACCGCATGCCGCCGTCACTCAGGGCCTTGTTCTTCGACACTCCACACGTGACGCTTGCAGGGCACCAAAATAACAAGTATGTCGGCGAAAATGGTAACGCCACCGCCACCACCACCAGGGGCGAAATATTGTCTGTCACGCCCGCTTCTTCGCCAGAACTACGGATGCAGGGTGGCGCGAGCACCTGGGATGAGAAAGGGGGGATATGTGTTCGGCTTGCGAGATACCAAAGGGTGTTGCATGTTGTGTGGGCGGCTCTGGGCGTGTCGATTCAACGCATTGTGTCATGGCCGGGTGGCGTACGCCGGCTCACGTTCTTGGAGGGCTTCAACCAAGACCTACGGTGGGTTTTATGGCCAGAGGGACTGCGCGAGCTGACCTTTCGAGAGGGGTTCAACCACCCTATAGAGGATGTAGTCTTTCCAAAGGGCCTGGAGAGACTATCCCTTGGTGCGGATTTCAACCAGGATATTCAAAATGCATCGTTCCCTCCTGCACTAACGTTCTTGTCCCTGGGGGCGTCTTTCAACCATCCTCTCGAGGGAGCTGAGCTGCCGAAGTCCCTACAAAGGCTTGTGTGGGGACAGTTATTCGACCAGCCGTTTGAAAGGGTTCGCTGGCCGCCGGCGTTGCAGAGCATCGCCTTCGGTGACGCGTTCAATAACCCCGTCGAGCAGGCTGAGTTTCCGGCACGAGTGCAGTCCCTTCAGCTTGGAAAAGCATTCGATCAGCAAGTTGAACGAGTGGCGTGGCCTCAACGCCTAGAGAGCCTGTCATTCGGACATGACTTCAACCACCCGGTGGCGGGGATGTCATGGCCGGAGGGCGTGAAAGAGGTGCGTGTACTCTGGGAGTAGCGCGCGTTTAAAGTTTCGACTCTTCGATATCTCACACGAGTGCATTTGATACCGCCGGACACCAACCAGTATTTACTGTTGTTCGTTTTGCGTGAAGGATGGTGGACCTTTTATTGTGTTGGGAGTTGTAGTATCTGCCACTACAACGCAAAAAGACTACCGCGCAGTATCGCACTTTCGGGAGCTTCTTGAATATTTCCGTGGGCTGCCCATGGAACAAAAGCAAACCCCCAGTAGTGTAGCAGACTAAAACAAGTTATCCATGCTGTCGTCCTTTAGACACGCGACGTTCGTTCCCCTGCACGGTTACATACGCGTATTCGCGTTATATTGAGGAAATAACAAATCGAACATTGATCCCAAGTCGGTGTGCGGAAGCTCAATCGTTCAGTTGTTGAAACGGGTGTGCACCGACCAGAAACTACAATTTGCCCACCGTTGCTAGCCAACAAGCAGCTGAGCGTGTAACACAGTTGGGCTGGATGCAGCGGTCCGACAAATGATACCGGTATCCACGTAGCCACGAGTCCCGGCAGCAGCGGAGGCCACCACAAACCAGCAACAACTTTACAACATTACTCCACCGTTAACCCACGACAAAGAACACGCCGCCAAACGTGAGGTCCTCAGGAACGATTGACGAAGCCGTTTTTGGTGGCGACCACTACTGGCAATGCGCAGGTCTCCTTTGGGTACAGCTTTGACAAACCGCTGTCGGGAGTGAGGTGGCCGCCTCACCTTGAGAGCGTCATTTTCGGCTTCCGCTTCAACAAGTCCCTCGACAACGTCACGTGGCCCGCGCTCTGCCGCTCCATTCATCTCGGAGAGTCCTTCAACCTTCCTCTGCACGGCATAAGGTATGACGGTGGTCAATAAGCTGCTAGGTCAGCAAATGACAACGTAGCTAAACCAGTACCGCAACCAGATGGTGTAGGCCAAGGGCATTGAAAATTATGGGGGCGGCGTAAATCACAACAGCTTGGAAGCGACCATCTTTGGCGGCTCCCTTAGACAAACCGGTTGTTGCGTTAATCGAGATATCAGCGAGCCCATCGCGGTCGCCACTTCTTCGGCCAAAACACGCCACGGTGCCGCGGTTCAAACAGCCGAGGGTCACACGTGGCCGTCAGACTCCCCCCGTTCTGCTTGCCCCTGACGGTGAAAGATGCGGAACGTGGTTGCTTCCAGATTATCCCAAAACGAGAGCCGTCGAGCTTACGGGGTTTCGACCACACGAATAGAAAAGGAAGATCGTCGCGGTCGAGACACTAGGCCAACCGTGTAGACGCCAAGGAGCCGGTACAGGCGCCCCCCATACAAAACATGGCCGGTGTTTATATCGAGATGCAGGAGAGGTGCTTCGTCGTGAGGGTGTTACATGGGCATCCGTCAAATTTTGGAGGCAGGAACGGAAAAAAACAGAATATAAGAACGTACCCCCGACGGCTACGGCTGTACCCCGTGTTTATCCTATTCTGGTCTTGTTCCGAAACCAGTTGGCCGCAAGGGATGCTCGAGTTGGACCTGGGGGACGACTTCAACCACCCCTTGGAAGGCATTACTCTGCCAGCGGGGCTGGAACGGCTCTACCTCTCGGTGCGCCTGCTTTCAGTGTACACCGCATGTTTGTTGGCGACCGTGGTCTAGGGGCGGGTCATTGCTGTTGTTGCTGTTGATATGAAGCTGTTGCTAGTTGTATTTGTCCGTTCTCGCGCACGTCATCTATACCTCGTCGGCGCCGTGTGCTTACATACGTGTGGCGGTTGAGGTATGACTGGGAAAGCGCCTATCTATCGCGAAAACACCAATAATTGCCGCACTCTGATACTAATTTCCTTCTTCGATGAAGGTGTTCTTCAACCAACCTGTGGTCGCGGTTAAGTGGCCCGAAGGACTGCTCGAGCTGGATTTCGGGCTGAATTTCAACATGCCAATCGAGGGCACGTCGTTTCCCCGGGGATTGCAGTCGGTGTGCTTCGGCCGGTGCTTCAATCAGGACGTCACCCGCGTTTCGTGGCCGGAGGAATTGACTCGGGTAAGCTATGTTGTTGTCGATGTTGATTGTTGTTGCTGTTCAGTTGTTCTTGTTGATTATATTGGTGATCTCGTTCGCAAAGTTACCCTGACCAGCCACACACCTGTACGTGGTCTTTCCTCCAGCGTGACCCCGGTTGATATGTTCACCAACCCTTACAGCGCAGGCACGGAGTAGACTCCCTTCCTACCTTCATCCCCTAAAAACGCGTGAAAGCCTCTGCACGCACTGTCTCTCCTCCGTAGGTCGTCCAAATGATCTTGGGACAGACATGTGCGGTAAACAGAAGTACAACCCACGAGCGTGCTGCCTGCACAATGTACCTTCCCTCCCTCTATCGAAAAACGTCACATCGGTGTAGATCGCCTTCGGACGAGCGTTCGTCGGGGCCCTCGAGGGAGACTCCTGGCCACCCCCGAAGCTGGAAGTATTGGACCTGGGCAGCAAGTTCCACGCGAAGCATCGAATTGACGAGTCCAACCTTCGGCAAGGGTGTCAGGTGTTCTACCTCTATGTTCCCGGCAGCGACTACTAAGTCGCTGTCGTCGTTGTTGTGACCCCTGCTATGTGGTCATGGTTGTTGCAGTTGTTGGTTCTTGTTGTTTGTTATCTCGCTCTGGTTCTTGTTTTTCTTGTTGTTGCAGTGGTTGTTGTCGCTGCTGCCGTTGTTCAGAGAGTCCTATTTGTATGCATCTCGCCTCGGGCAGGGCGGACTTTCGCATGCAGACAAACCAAGCACGTAAAGCGATAGCACATGGTAGCTTTCGTTTTTTCAGAAGCACCGCACATAGCATCAACCTCGTGAAAAGCACAGCGTGAGGCTTATACTTGTTCTGAAAGGGGGTACGGGCACCAGGAGGTTTTCTTCAAGTGTGAGACGGCGACCTACGGACAGGGGATGTCTACTTGAGGCTATCGATCTCTGACAGGCGGTTTGCACGGGCGAACAGGCAGACAAGGAAAGTGCCTCGAGGTACAGTAGTAGGCGTGCTCACAGCTGAAGCCGAAAGAGACAGCAATACAACAGAATATTACAAGTATACTCTCTGGTACATAGAGCTGAGCTAGTCGATTTTTAACAGGAGAGTTGGCAACGATTGTAAGGACGCCGAAGCTAATTTTAAGTACTGGGCCGAAAGACACGATACTTCAAAGTGCCCCGTGCTCTTTGTATTACGCAAAAAATTGTTGACACAAATGTCCCCGAATACTTCTGGGTGGCATGTAGGGAATGGACCGCCCTTTCAGAGAAAAAAATTATGGGAACTGGTATAGCCTACGCAACTGTGAGTGTATGTGCTTCTTTTTGTTGTCGTGGGGGACGGGGGTCGGACGGAATGCCAACTGCAGGACGAGAATAGGGTTATTCCAAGCTTATCGGCTTACAGGTGTTGCAGCCGCAACGGGGCTCGGTATTATGCCTCTACCTGCTTCAGACGTTTCGTTGAATAGGATTGGCGCCCTTGAGGTGGTGGTAGGTACCGGCGGATTAGACAGGCAAAGAAATGAGCACCACCAAGTGTGTATCTGCTGTGCGTGCCGACGATTGGGAACGACGGCGAGTGAGGCGGTTTTCCGACGGACATGGTCTCTTATACCGATTGCGTGTATTGAGTGGTTACATGGTGGGGTGTGCGAGTGCCAACTACATACATGACAATGTTGAAGTTGGTAGGGGGCGAATTGGTCCGCTGCTTTGGCAGAAGCATTCTAAGAACAAGGGAGTGGACAGTCGGGGTATTGTGGGGCGTTTATCTGGGGCCCACAGTACGAATGCCTTATTGCAGTTACCACGGCGATAAATATCCCGCAAATGGCTTGAATTAAATGACCCGAGTGTAACGCAGGAGCCCTCTCGAGGAAAGACCAGTGAAGTGGTGTGGTTTGCAGGCCAAGGGCGCTCCACATCCACGATTGTTATTTCAGCCTCTAAAAATTTGCCCCATGTCTCCCCTGTTTAGTCAAAGTATTTCGCGAAGGTATGCATGTAGAAGATATTTCGCAACTACTTCGTATGTAGTGAAAAACGTATTCGGATATAGAATCAGTGTCGTTGAATTTTCTCAGAACACGTTTGTCTTGATTGGCAATAAGATTACATCCGTCTCTGTGCGTGGGTGCAAGCTTCAAATGCGAGGAACTTCTGCTTGTGTTGATGGCTTGCGGTTGCCTGCTATTTGGAGTTCGCCCAAATGAATGACCCTCAAAGAGGAGCCACATGAGAAGATACGTGCTCGGTCGTGGTTACTGCTGCTGTCGCCAAATCAAACAACAACAAAATATGGAAATTTACCGAGGGCAGTCCCTTTGAAAGCAATACTGGCCGAAAATTACAACATACAACAAATAATTGTCGATTTCTGCCTCTTCTTGGTGGTCGTCAAGAGGTAGAACAGGTCTATTGCTGTCTTGCCTATGAGGCCACCCCGGTCCGGAGAACTGCAGGAAAAAAACGATGGACTTCAGTTTGGATTCCAAACAGTCTCGGCTCTCCTACCCACGCCCGCACACGGACAACTGACACTGGGAGAGAACAGAATGAATGGGCGTACCGGATCACGATGTTCTGCCTTGAAACTACCCACGCCGCCGGTGCCACCGCGTAGCGGTACACGTCCGTGTGATTCTTTTTGTTCGTGGCCACCCGAGGATGCGAGCGAAAGAGACATCTGACAAAGAGAAATATCTTAACGCCAAGAACGCATACATGTCCCGCGACTGAAAATAATGCAAGAATGATATCGTACATGCCTGACCGCTCCAGAATACGTTGCTCGTTTTTCTTAGTTGTTTTCCGGGGGGCCTGAAGCAACGGCAAACAAGCCGGTCCTTTGGCTAGGGGAAAGGAGCTGGTTGGTATAATTCAGCACAAGGCTCCGGTTGAAGACGACCACGCCGACGGCGGCGGCGGCGACGGCGTCAACAATATATTACGACAACGATGACGACGACGACAATGTCCATGATGACGACGACGACAATATCATCATCAACAACAACAATTCAGTCCAACTGTCCCCGTCAAAATAACTACCCCTTTTGCGAGGTCAACGGTCTAACGACTACCGCATGCATGACTATGAGTACCCCCCCCCCCCCACCCCCCCTTTTCCATGCACCAAAACGGGGGGGGCGGCAAAATTTAAATGGGGCTCAAGGGGACAAAATTTCCAAAATTTTTCCACAAAAAAAAAAAAAACTTTTCGTTTTGTGTTTCCCGGGGAACGGGGTTTGTGGGAAAACCCCCGGGGGTCGCCAAAAAAAAACCCCCAAAATGAATTGCCCCTGGGCCAAACAAGTTTCCCCCAAAACCCCAAAACACAAAAAAATTTGAAAAAGAAACAATGGCCCCCCTTTTGACTATTAACAAGGGCCCCCCTTTTAAAAAAGAAAAAAATGGGCCCCCCCGTCCAAACTCAAAAAACGTCAAAAGTCCTCCCCCAAGGGAATCTGGGGGACCCCCACTTTCCCTTTGGTCATCTGGGGCCCCCAAAGGATAAAATCCCGCTTTTAAAAAAACACAAAAACGACCCCTTTCCTCAGTGCAACCCCCCCCAAAC